AACAATAGTTTTTTGCCTCACACGATCCCTATATCTTTCAGTTTGCTCTCTCCATATCTTTCTCATAGCTCGCTGTTCCCTATCTGCCAGATCTTTTATACTTCTAACTTGTACTTTCTCCTTCATTCTGTGATACTTCTCTTTTTCTTTTTCTTTTAACTCAGCATTCTTGATTGGATAATTTTTAATTCGCTGGTCGCGTGGTCTTTCTGCTTGGCGTTTTTTCTCCAATCTTTACTCTCGGGTTTGCTTTTTTATAATTTTGCCATTTTAGCGAGTTATGTTTTTTTGGTACCTGAAATTAATGAAATAGTGTCTATACCACATTCAACTTCAAGAGCAGGAAGCAGGCAGCTCAGAGCCCTAAACTAGGCCAGGCAACTTCTTAGGTGCAGTCCGCTGATTGATGTAACAGATTGGTATGAACACTGACAATGAGCGTTTGATCACTGGATATGGCCCTAGGCATCTGGCCCGGCCCCTCATGCCTGACCTATTTCAGATCTACTGCCTCTTGAAGTTGAATTTGGTATAGTAGCTACACATCTTATACAAAAAGGTGCCTTTGTATTTCCCCTGGGCAGTGTGTATTTCCCCTGACTTAAAAAATGCCAGGGGAGTGACGCCAGGGAAGTGACAAAAACAAAAAAGCAAGATATGTTGATTATTATATTATTTTAACGTGATTCGTGGCTTTTCTATTCAAAATTCTTAATTTTTTATAAAGTCGCAAAAATGTAACTTTTAAATTCACAAAGATATGCTTACCAGGGGAAATGCTTCACTCACTGGCAAAAGGGTATCGGACGACTGTTAGTGGGCTACTGACGCGTCCCTGGTCTTCGTTTTCCAAATTACGATAGTTTCGCACTATCCCTTCTTCATTTGCTACTTGCTGCTCAAGGTAAAGTCGCATAGTTGCCATATTTTGATGAATATATGCAATTTGAATTGCGCCAGGTGAGGGTGACACTGTTCTCAGGAACCACTAATAAACGGGATTTTTTACGCATTTATGTATATTTTTAGTGTGCCTTTTTGCGAAAATATGTTATCAGATGTATTAGGTAATACAAAGAGTATCCGCTTATTGTTATACCAGTACATAATACAGAGATTTGTTGATGTTTGAAGTGAAATTTGGGAATGGAACATGCCAGGGGAGTATACATTTTGTTAACTTTCAATCAGATTTTTCCTAAATCTTAATGGTTACCTCAATTGCGCCATATGTTCCAAATAAAGATTGACATCTTCCACTATTTGAATGGTCTATTTCCACAATTTGTCCATTGGATTCAGATTTTTTTGCAGGAACATTGAATTCCCCAATAACTGATATTCACCCATATGACATTAACATCACGAAAAATCATATCTCTAATTTCCCACGGTCTATCTGTATGTCCGCTAATCCTTGGCCCATCTATAACTTGAGGAGTACTGCTAGGATTGTAATGAAATTTCCACACAAGCTTACTACTATTCCAAGGACGATAAATGTTTCTGGTTTTTGAAAATCGTTCCATTGGCGGCACAGATAGGGATAAAACACGAAGAAAATAAAACATTTCGGCTTTTTCTTAACGTTTCAGAGGCTCCCGATCATTTTCAGAAAAATTTTCGTAGTGTTAAAAATTGAGAGTTGCACGAGGTGGGAGAGGGTGTATCTGAATTTTTTGATGTCAGTATATTTATACACTTCTGATAACGGCGTTGTGTATGGAGTATAGAGTGAACCTACTGGACGCCATTTTTTTAGTATCAAAATGAACGAAAAATGCGCCTCAGACTTATCTTTGAATGCTTGAATCACTGTCAATAAACATTCCACGGCGTAGATGGTTTTTAACGGTTTTTACAATTAAAATACGAGCAAATAAACGCATCAAAATCATAAATAATAATAAATATGCACAAGTTGTACGATAACGAGCATTATCGAGAGTGATTTACGGTGTTACGATTCATAATTACGGCCAACTTCTACTGGTCTTTTTCAAGCAATTAATTTTTCCTTTGATAATGATGCGCCATTTCTTACAACGTAAAGCAGGCGCGACGGTTCACTTTTGCACCCCTGGTGATTTCTTGAGCACATTTTGATAAACGTTAGCTGCTCACGCTCGAAACCTGTTTTAACACGTACACTAATGTTCAAAAGTATTACATTATCACTTTCGAGAGAACAGGGGCGTATTTAAAGATTCAGCGCCCCGGGCTTCTTATGGCTTGCCACCCCATAAAAGGACAAAAAACTTTTAATTGAGGCGGCTTGAGTGGATATATCCTTTAAGACAGAGGGGGACACTTTTGCCCCTAGCGTAAATACGCCACCATAGGAGAAGTATTCGGACATGGCAGCTTCACTCAACTGTATCACCGCTTTACTCGTTAATTGGCAAGGATAATTACAAAAAAATAAGGGCCAGATATTGCTTTTGCATGTCACACAATAAGTACATGACAAAAAATCAAATCACTCATTTTCATCGGCCTTTTTATGTGTCTTTTATCCGATCGACGATCTTTGACGCCTCTATAAATTAAAAAATACCCATTGGATTTTGATGAATTTTTTACACAACTTTGCTGCCAGGCCAGTGATAAACAAGTTGCTGATTTTGAAAATCTGACTAAAGCCAACCGACCGGCGATTTTTGAGGTCTCTACAAATTAAAAAATACCCATTGGATTTTGATGAATTTTTACACAATTTTGCTGCCAGGCCAATGATGAAAAAAGTTGCTGATTTTGAAAGTCTGACCAAAGGCAACCGACCGGTGATTTTTGACGTCTCTACAAATTAAAAAATACCCATTGGATTTTGATGAATTTTTTACAGAATTTTGCTGCCAGGCCAATGTTGAAAAAGTTGCTGATTTTGAAAATCGGACCGAGTTACAGTAATGGACCAAATTATATAGACACATTAACATTGTGCTGTATTTCTTTTTTAACTTGTCTTATTAATACACCAACCTGTATACATAACTCGTTATAGCATAATACTCACTTATACAGAAATAAATTCATTAGACTTCAATGAAAAATTAATTAAAAAAAAAGCAACAACAATTATAGAAAAAAGAAGCAAAGTTCATTGAATTATAGAAAACCAACAATGTTTGTGTTAATATTTTGTAGCATAACCATTATTAACAATCACCGCCTGGCATCGTCTCGGCATAGATTGTAGAATTTTCTTGATATAAGATTCATCAATCTGTCTCCACTTTTGCTCTAAAGCGGCAAAAAGTTCATCCTTATTTGAATAATTTTTTCTTATCTAAGTATTCCCATATATTTTTTATGGGGCTTATATCGAGAGACTGTGAAGGCCATTTGAGAACTGGTATTTTTTCATCCAGAAAGAATTTCTTTGCGAGATTTGAAGTGTGCTTCGGGTCATTATCTTGCTGGAAGATTGATCTTAAGGGCATATTGTCTTCCATATAGGGTAACATGACATGCTTTAGTATGTCTGTGTATACAAACTTATCCATAATGCGATCTATTCTATGTAAAGGCCCATCCCAAACCCCGAAAAGCACCCCCAAACCATAACAGACCCGCCTCCATGTTTGACAGCGGGCAAAGTGTACTTGGGGTTCAATCTTTGTCCACTAGGACGTCTAACGTAATGAACACCATCTGAGCTAAACATATTGAACTTGGATTCGTCACTGAAACATACCCTCTTCCAGTCACAGATGCTCCAATCAAGAAGCAACCGTGCAAATTGTAATCGGTCCTTACGGTTTTTCCTCGAGATTAGCGGCTTCTTACTCGCACTTCAAATCATTTAATCTTCTACTTGTAGTTTTCGTTGAAACACTGACAATTCCTTTTGTCTCGATTTCGGCTTTTATTTGTCTTGGAGTTTTAAACGGATCCTTGGACGAAATTACTTTTATTAATCTAACAGATCTAGCATTTAGTTTTCTAGGCCGACCACTTCTATTAGAGGCTTCTAAGATACCTTTTTGTTTATATTTGTTCAATATTGCCCAAACTGCTCTACGCTTCAGCTTCAAATTTTTGGCAATGTCGACTTGGCGTTGACCATCTTTGTATAACTCAATGATCTTAGATTTCACATTGAAAGAAATTTCTGGACCATGCGGCATGGTCTTAAAATCACTCAACTTATTCCACAATACTTGATGGACACAATCTAATTCTCTTCTGACAAGAAACTGTACTAAAATAATGTTGAAAAGAATTTGTCTACATATTTTTGTCCCTCATAAAAAAGTGCTTCAATTAAGACTTGTATTGTGTTCATTGCAGGTAATGTAAAAACAAGGAATTTAGTTTTTCTACTAATAACGCATTTGTTTATGGAGCAATGAAGTATGAATTCGTTTTCTAAGGGAATTTAGGTAAATATTCATATTTGTCTATATACTTGTGTCCATTACTGTATGTGCAAATAAATTAAAATTCCGGGACGTCCGCTAACTATGTTTTCCTTGTTTTGCAAATCGCTAATGGTTTTTTGTGTAAAAGTAACGAAACATTTCTGTAGAGGACATCAGTTTCTGCTCATCTCAAACGACGTTTTCCAACTTCTTGAAGGCATAGCAGAATTTTTCTCAATTTCTCTTATTCGTTTAACAAAAATGGTGAATGTGCACATGAAACCTAGTGAATTAAAATAAAGCTGGGATCTTAGATTGTATGGTGTATCTGAAGTCACTTGAAATAGCATAAAAACCTTTGGTCGGCGCGTCCTTTGTAATTTCATGACGTATCATAGGCGTGCGGCATTTATTTAGAACGATAATAATAATGTTTTTATACCACAATAAATGGATTTTACTATCTTCTTATTTTTTTGATTTGGGATAAAAAATACTTATATTGGGAGTTTAATTTATGTTGACTGAAAGTTAAGAAATGGAAAAATTACAGAATTCCAACGTTTGACATAGGCAAATATTTACATAGCAGGTAGGTATATTAAAAAGGTATATAAAGACTTACATTATAGGTATTTATATATCATCCTCGCATTCGGAGCTGTCGCTAGAGTCATCTTGTAGAGGAATTACAACGGGATTTAAAGGAGGCAAAACACAATATTCATTTTCTTTTTCAATAATATGCCTAGAACACGGCTTCCATAGGTCTGTGGCAGCAATATGAGATACTGCATCTCTTATTGTGGCCAATAGCGATTCACTTAATTGAGGGGTCTGATTATGTTTTCTTACTTTTTTTTTAAAGCAGCCCAGACCAACTCAATCGGGTTAAAAATGCAGTAATAGGGAGGTAGATGTAATACTTCATGGCCATTTTGCTGAAGCAGATTGTCAACAACATACTCTTTTTCAAATTTTTGTCTTTTAATAAGATCCAATATATGGCTTTGGTTGATTTTTGTGGTATTCCATTCCCTTATCCTTCACAAAATCAATAATGTCTTGTTTTTTTGTGCCGGTATTCGGAATTTTGTTTTTCTGTCGGGAATGGTATTGCGCATTGTCCATAATAATCACTGAATTTGGGGAAATGTTTGCTATTAACTGCTGGTCTGTCCACTTTTCAAATAAGTCGGAGGTCATGTCCTCATGATAGTCGGCACATGATTCTTTGATATTTTCATGGTGCATTTAAAATGCACTTGTTGCTGTCGTCAACCCAGCCGTACTGCACAACATCAAGGGTATCATACCACGTTTCATCCAGGTAAATCAGATTTCTTTTCTGCTCTCTATAGATTTTAACTTTGTGCAAAAATTCTTGGCGCAATTCAACGATTCGAGACGACTCCATAATCACCATTCTTTTATCTAATTTTTTGTATTGAAAACCACACAGTTTTACAATACAGTGCAGTGAGTCTAAGCATTTGTAATTATAAAAATCTTCAGGATAATCTTTTAATTTATCATTTCCAACTTGGGCACCAAATTTTCTTTATAAAATCTGTATATTATACGACGAATATCTTCCTGAAAACCCACGTCTATTCTATTTAATTTTTGCCCTATGCGCTTTCTGTGGAAGGAATGGTTGACTACATCTCCCCTTTTTATAACCCGATAAATGGTATACCGACTGATTTTTGTCCGGATACAAATTCTGTTTAAAATTTGATTTTGCGAGAAATCTGGATTTTCGTTTTTCAGACAATCATACATATTTAGGATTACTCTTTGGGTCTGTTCCTCTAAATCTTTATGAAAGAATTCTGCCTGCACAGGTTCATCAACCATCTCCTCCTGGCTTGGAGCATTTTCCCAAGGTCTCCAAAGAGCCATATTTAGGACACACAAGAACAATCAACACAACAATTAAATCAACAAGTAAACTGAGTATTCAAAAGTCAAAAACACACAAACTAATAAAATCTATGAAAAAACACGGACAGACTAAAGAAAACACGTTTATTCACCGCTACACGGCACTGGCTAAACTGATTCAATTTTCAGTAGCCACCTGCACTTGTTCCGAGCTCTGAAATACACGCTTTCTCATTGGCTATGTCCATGCTTTACTCCACGTGGACCGGTGAAACTGCCTTTGATCTCTTATACGGGGGATATTTGCTGCGAAATTTGGCGATTTTTACAGCAACAGAGCGTGTTAAATATAGATATATAAAACGCACCCGGTATTTCACAGTGTTTCAAGTGACTTCAGATAAAGTATACACTTTTATATAAAAAAAAACAAGTTAATCTTAGACACAAACAGTATCTAAGTGTGTAACTCATCAGGTCAAAAGCGATTATTTTGTATTTTTAGCGAATTTTTGAACTGAACTGTACAGTAATGTGCCACATGGCGACTATTTCAGTATAAGAGTGGTAATATTGCGTACAGAGATCAGCAAATAAACGGTTCACACATAATATATATTCGAACATCGATCAATTCATTTCCAGTTGGTGTACTTATTTATAAAGCTCATCTGAAAATAGCACAAATATTGCTTTGTAGATTACGCGTGAGTGCACTGACATTTGCCCCCATATTATCGACTATTCATTATAAACAGACACTATCTGTCTTCAATATATTCCATCCTTCGCATAGTGAATCATCGGCGCCCTATTTTATTCAGATAATATGTAAAGTAGAAACATAAATAATCTGAGTTGGGTGCCTTTTTCACTTATACAGGTTGTTTCAAAAGTGAGGTAAAATATTTAATTGGCGATTCTTGGATTGATTCCAGGAAATAATTCCTTATGAACACATTGGCTAAACCATTGATTCCCAAAGTGGTCTATATCGACCCCTACGGGTCTATGACATCCTGCAAGGGGTCTACGTCAGCGAAAAAAAATTTGGGGGTCCATAAAATGAATATGGGGGTCCACGATAGTGGATCTCAACACATACACTGATAGTACTTATTTAGTTACATCATACTATCTTATAACATCAAAACATATACATTGTTTATAAAAGTAGCTATGAAGTAAAAAATGTATTATATATGTTTATAAAATTGTGTAAGTTGTAGGATGTTGATATTCGCTTTGTGGTCGCAATACATTTTGAACTTGTAAAAACCTGAGAGTCGCAGTCTCAGAGCTTCGCTACCTTGCACTGACTTGTTCAATTCGTCACTCTATAAATACGAATGTGGGACAAATACGTTTATTCGTTTCCTGAATCTTGAAAAGGAAAGTGCTAAGAAAATATTTTAAAAAATGTAAACAGATAGTATATCACACAAATTATAGTGAGTCAGTGTTATTTTGTTTGAGAGTGCTGGAGAAAAGTAAGTACATTATTTTTTATTAAATTTTAGTTTTGTACTCGTAGTTAGCAAAGATAAATTACGCCAATCATAACTTTAGTTATTAGTAGTTAAATATTCAATCATGCAAAATTACACGAGTACTCCTCAATAGTTTCTTTTTGAAAGTTTTAGCAATCGGTAATATAATTACAGTGCAATCTCCGTAATTCTAGCTTATTGTTGCAAGATGTTCGAATTATGGAATGTTTTCGGAAAAATCAAAAAATATTTTTAATATACAGCTGCTGGATTTCCTGTCTTATTTAAATAATTTAATTTTGCCCACAGATGACTGATGCCATGTCCGAATCTAAAAAGAAATGTACAGTGTTGATTATTTGAAATTTGGCTGGATTCCATCATTGCCGGACAAACAATCGCCTATGTGCCTTTTATGCAACAAAGTTTTGGGCAATGACGCTATGAAACCATCTAAACTGCAAGATCATCTGAGAAGATGCCACCCTGATAAAACAGAGAAAGATTTGAAATACTTTCAAACACTCAAAGATAAATTTCAGAAGAGACCTACACTGGACAGAATGTTCGCTTCGACGTCACAAAGAAATGATGATGGTTTGCGGGCGTCTTACAATATCTCGTTACTTATAGCAAAATCCGGAAAACCGCATACTATCGGAGAGAAGTTAATTTTGCCAGCCGTTGAAGAGGTTTTAAAAACTATTTTACACAAACCTGCATCTGATATCATTAAAAGAATTCCCTTAAGCAACAATACTGTTGAAAGACGAAAGGTGAATCAATATTTCATGTTTTGAAGGATTACTTCATTGAAAAAGCAATTCCTTTATCAAATATAATATCAGTAGCTACAGGGGTGTTAGCAATACATTGCGTCATCCATCGACAACATTTAGTTGCTAAAAATTTGAGTGTTAGATTGCATGAATCACTTCATTTAGTCATTGATGCAGTAAACCGAAACCGAAGCAACGCGTTGAATACGCGTTTATTTGCACAGTTGTGTGAAGAAAATGACGAACACTTTCATCAATTACTCCTTCACACTGAAGTACGCTGGCTGTCGAAAGGCTTATGTTTGACAAGATTTTTTGCACTTTTTGTGACTATTTTAGAATTTCTGGATACTAAAGATAAAATTTTAAAAGAAAATTTAATCAAGAGGAAAACAGACATTGCCTATTTGACAGATTTGTTTACAAAATTTAATATGGTTAATTTGCAATTACAAGGCGACAGTTTAAATTTGATTAAAACAAAGTCCATAAAATCAGCGTTTCTTGCACTAATGAAGCAAAATATTGGACGGGGCGAATTTTCTCAGTTCCCCAATTTGTCACAGACAAGCTGCCAGGAAGACGACGTTTCAACTTACGTTCAACATTTAAATGCCCTCTATTCAGATTTTGAATGTAGGTTTGAGGATATTTTGACTATGGTAATACCACCGTGGATAATTAATCCATATGGTGACATAGAAGAAACGAATGTCATAATACAAGAGGAACTGACTGAACTAAGTACAAACGAAGAACTTAAGGTTCAGTTTAAAAACGGATATCAGCAATTCTGGCTGCAAAACAACATACCCGTTACTTATCCCGTATTATGGAATATAGCGAGGAAATTTTTAATTTCCTTTCCATCGTCATACCTAGTGGAAAGGGAGTTCAGCGCTGTTACCAATCTCCTAACGAAAAAAAGAAACAGACTGGACATCATTAGCCGAGGAGATTTAAGTTACCCCTTACCCTTACAAAATTGACGCCAAATGTTGATAATTTATTATTAAAGCATTACGTTCATCCTTCTCGCTAAAAATATTGCCTTATTGCTTATGTTATTTTATTTATAGTTTATTTTATGTTTATTGGTGTCTGACCAATAAATGCCCGCATTGGGAATAAGTGCCGCATTGATTTTTTTAAAGGGGGGTTATAGAAAATATTTTTTTTAAATTATTCTGAAAATTCAAGGATAGGTACACACTAAAATTCGTTAATTTTTTGCCTATTTTTAGATAACTTAATCGTATAAGAAGCGGAATTTAATCAAACTAACAGTGAAATTATTGTAGAACATACGTTTATGTTATAATTAATAAACAAACTCGCTTATTGTACTATTTTAAGTAAAAAACTTTTTTTATTTTTCATTTTTCTTTTATTTTATCCCTCTTATTTTTTTTCAATGCGGGCACTTATTCCCAATGCGGGCACTTATTGGTCAGACACCTGTTTATTTAATGTGACGTATATTTTACATAACAGATACAAAATTTTATTTTGAGTAGTTTTAATTTAAATTCAATTAATAAATGTATAAATTAACATGTGTTTTTACTTTAAGTTTTTAACACTAAACTTCACTACAGTTAGAAATTTACAGTAAATCAATATCAGGTAAGTAGGGGGTTTACCCAACACGGAAAAACATGGCAAGGGGTCTACGACACAAAAAAGTTTGGGAAACTATGGGCTAAACCATTAAAATTCGTAAATTAATAAAATTATAAGGAATTTCGTCAATTAGGAAGCTCTGACGCGTCAAATCATGCGTTGCTCGTTGCCGAATGCCTAAGCTGTCTTCTCCCGCCGATGCACCGAAAGGGTCCAAGACCTTATTTTACATGCTTTCCTTTGATAAACAAAAGCATACCAGATGTAAACAACTTCAAAGCAATTAATATACATACATACACGTCTCAATTTTTTAGATAAAGTCTTACATTCGAGCTTAGTTTGGTTCGCCACTACTTCAAAAAAAAAAAAACATGATTCAGCAGATCTTATGCTTTGCTGTACCATTTATCTATAGGATTCCATACTTTTTTAACGGTAACTGATGTTTCTTATTTTTTGCGCGAAAATTGCACTGGGGTAGTAAAAAATGAAGAGATCAAATTTATATGCTCATAAGTGATGGAAATTGTGAAATAAATTCTGTTACAAAAAATTGTGTTATTTAGATTAAATTTCGCACGACAGCAGTGGAAGAAAAAAATTGTATGTTAGAAAATGCCAAAGAAAATGCGCCTTAATGCATAATAGCTGTGTATCAATCACGTCGCAGGCATTTTTAAAAATAGATTTTTTGAAAGATTGTTTAGGTGACTTCATAAAATGGACCCCATAAATTTCACCTTTAGAAAAACACGAAATTCTGTAGACACCTTCTCGTGATTTAACGGTCAACACGAGCAATGTTTCGAGATTTTGCAGGATAAATAGCAGCGATATGTTTTCTTAAACGATTCAAAAATAGCTGAGCTTTTCATCCACGAGTTTCCCACACGTATCGCTGATGCATTTACAAGAATAAGAATTATTATTCATCACTCCTGAAATACCTCTCCCACAGATTAAGCACCCGTTCAGAGATGGCCTTACTACCAACCGCATCGTATTTGTTTTCATTTCCGCTACAAAAATATCGAATATATTTTTGTTTTCGGCAGCTGCGTTTCCTCTTTGCATGGGTTTATTTATGAATGAAACGAATGAAAGTCGCTAGCCAGCAAATATCAACCAACGTGTGCATGGGAAAGGATACGCTAAGGTCGCTCAGGCACGTCCGATCATATACTACTGAGCCAAAGGACGGTTGCAATGACCTTCAGCGATTTGTTACACAATCGTTTGTATTACAATGTTAACAGAGACTGAACCACTTCCTGTACGTCGCGTCCTTTTCAAATTATGAGCTTTGAAAAAATCGGAAAAATCTTCACCCTGTGATGATCTTTTTGCCCATTGCTACAAATCTCATGTTTTTCTTAGACTTACAGTGTCATTCTATCCCGATAGCATTAAATATTTTTTAAAAAATGATTGTTAAATATTTGTAGCGACAGATTTTTTAATATTTAATAAATATATTTCTTATATATTCATAAAATATGCATTATAGATATTTGTAGTATGTATATATAATTCAGATATTTTTGCGATATTTTTTCCAAATATTTAGAAAATATATGAAGAAAGATTTTTAAATATCAATTTTATATTTTGATGAAATATCTAATATTTTTCGTAAATATGTATGGATTTTCAAGCATTAATCCGATACATATTTTCAGTGTATATAGAAAATTTTTCATTGGTTATTTAAACAAAATCTGTAGGAATGCTTATATAAAATTTGGTTTATAAAAAAAATCATTCTAGATATAATCATTTAATTTACTAGAAAAATATCATACAAAACATTCTAAGCCTCTTCTGCATCTTGCAAATCCACTCATCTGAAAAAAAACTTACTAAGTATGAAGTATTATTGAATACATAAAGAGATATTGTCCCAAACTGCTGTAGAAAGTGTGTTTATGGAACAATATGTGCACTGCTGAGTTACTCCGAGTAGCTCAACTGCAAAGCAGCTCTATAATGCACCTAAAAGGACCCCACATTTTCTTCCTATGAGAGTTTTGTTAATTTTTATGAAAATTTGGTATGTTGTTTTAGATATCTTGATGAAAATTGTCCATGGGCACAACTTGATCCTTTGACTAGCTTTCAAAGAAAAGAGTTTCAAAAATAGACCGCTTATTGATTTTGTTGAAATGTGACTTTATTGCAGTAGTAAGGGGACTAATTTATCCATAACTATTTTGTGATTTTATATTATAATCCAAGGGACAACAGGATAGTATCTTCGACTGTTAAAATTTTGGAACGACGAAATTTTAAAATAGTTACATCCCTACTACGACAAAAATAATAATAATTGAGATATTAAAAAAAACATTTTGATATATCTCGATCAAATTGCGATCATATGACTTTTCATTGGGATGTTATAATTTTCGTATCCATTTTCAGATAAATCCACCAATCCCAAATCGCAAATAACTGTAACACTTCAAGGCTAGTTATTTGTGGTCTTGTAACTAACTTTATACTCAACTGGCACAATAATATTTACTAGTCAGATAAATTAATTAATTCAATTATCGATAAATTTACCCTTTTCCACCAAAAAATACTCAAATAATGTAACAGTTGGACGAACACATGAAGCATGCTATCATAGTGAAACTCACAGGCAAAATGGATGCTGGTAAACGGGTCGGCTCAGGTCGGCTTGCCATTATGCCATTAGTCGCTCGTTGTCACACGCACATGCGCCGTAGCCGAAAATATTTAATGAATGTTTTCTAAATAATGGAGATTTAATATTTTCCATTGATTGAAAGGTAAATATTTAATGTAAAAGAAATATTGTTTTTAAAATATATGGAATAAATATTTAATGAATATTTCGTGCTATCGGAGTATGTAGTAACAGCAAGGCAGATAGTAACGCCACTTTCATTAATTCGTGAATGTATTTATTAAAGTCTCAGTAAATTTTCAAACTGCCTTTGGTAAATGATTTTGTAAAAGTTTAAATAAATGACGCCATTCAAGAACTCTGGCAGCTCAAAGGTACATTTAGAATCTCGGTCTACATGATACAAATAATTCACGTTTTTGACTAATCATAATATGTAATTATAATGAATCCGTAAAAATGCGACTAAAGTGACTAAAAATATGTAGGGTATTCAATTTAAAAAGATAAAACTTCATTTTATAGCATTTTTGTATATATGAAAGACATTACCTGGACAACTTTTGAGTACACATTTCGTTTCTATACAAAACAGTTAAGATGGGATCAATTTAGCGTAAGGTTACTGGTACCAGAATGTTCCCAAATATCTGCTGTTAGGTTTTTAAATTTCTGCCATAAAATTTTATTTTGAGGAAAAAAATCACAACTTCGGCTTTCGATGTTTTTTAACTTTCCGGTTACAAGGTCATTATTTACCGCAGAAGCTCTTTAACCCCTTTCAGCAGATTTAACAGCTGACTTTGATTTGTTTTCATGCTTCAGAGAGTAAAATTTAAGGGGCCGTTACGACCATAGACGGGTGTTTCAAAGGCTTTCCAGAAAATCACTTCAGGAAAAGAGTAAATCAAATAGTAAAATCGCTGGATAGAGTGATTGATCCTAGGGGAGGTTATAATGACGAAAAAACGTATTCTTAGAGATCCTAATCTTTTTGTATGTCGAGTCCAGAAATTTTTTGATTAACTCTTTGACTAACAATGTTTCCTCCTTGTTCCAGCCTGTTCGAACAGGAGATAATGTCGTACGTCCCTGCGTCTACGTCATCGACAACGAATGGCCGTACCGGAGGCAACTCCCCATTGACCTCCTCTCCCGTAGCTTCTCCAGGACCTCCCGGCAGACATCGAACGGCAGCTACTGCAGCTGCCGCAGCTGGAGGACCTCATCACCACAAGAGGGACTTTGAGGCGAAGCTGAGGAATTTTTACAAAAAGCTGGATGTCAAGGGGTATGGGCAGGGACCTGGCAAGTTCAAGTGAGTATGTTAGAATATATATCGGAGATACTTGTTATAACTTTTGTGTGCTTAACCAATCGTGTACGGCGCTGTTTCGTGTTTATTGGCAACCATCAAGATGGTCCAGGTAGGACAACGAACAAAAGCAGAACAGCAGAGGCGTGAAGTTGATAAACATGCGATAGAATGAATGGTGTTTGTGTGTTGTTGTATTTCTGTATGAGTTTATTTTCCAGTTTTTTTACGAGCTGAAAGAGTGGTTTATGGTTTTTACAGGGTGTTAAAGAATGTCGTCAGGAAAATTTTAGGATGGATTCAGTACATAGAAATAAAAAAAGTTCATATTACTTGGGTTCAGAAATTGCACATTTCCAAAATATCTGTTGTTTATTTTTGGGTTATGGGTTTTGTAAAAATAAGTAACATTTTCCCATATTGTTTCTGTTTGGAAAGTGTCACCTTTCGTTATATTCGTTAAAAAAATGACTTTCCCAGTTACTTTTTTTTTAGTAACAATAAACAGATTGAGTGAAACAGGATCAATCTGACCTTAAAGGTCTAATGCTAATTTTGCAAAAACATGTAATAGACTTATAAAAAACGTGACATTAAATTTTCCATTTTCGTCTGTAGAAGTCGAAAGTGCAATATCCCAGTTTCTATTTTCCTTGTGGAGTTCGAGACACATTTTCCTGAAAAATACTTCATCAAAAATTCTACAAATACTTTTCTTTTAGTTAATTTGTTCTTCCTAAATTCACTCTTGGTTTCTTGATGCATTGCTCCTCATACACACCTCGCTTAGCATTAAGGAACAAAAAATGTATGTTTCATACCTGGTTTTAAATTTTCTATAAAGTTGGATGTGCGAAAAAAGATTTGAAAAAGGAACCAAAAAATTATATGGGCACAAAAAAAATTCGATGTTGTTGCACAAGAAGGCCCTTCATTGAAAACGAGGGACTAGAATAACAAGAACGACTGACGTTGTTCTATTTTTTTTTCGATAGTTTTTTGGCATCTTATGACTTTTAAATTATAAGCAATTGAATGCATCCATTTTTGGCAAAATATGTTCTCCGGTCTTTTGTACTTAAATGTGTCATGAGAAAATTAAATTCGCCTTTAGAGATGAGTCTGGTGTTCTATAGTGACGCTCCTGTACTTTATTCAGGGTTCAAAAAAAACAAAAATCGTATTTTTTTTGTTAAATTCTTTTTTTTTTTGTTTAAAAAATTCAAATTTTCGCTGAAAAAAAATGTTCAAAACACTGTTAATACATGTTTCAAACTGTAAAAAAAACTATTGCCTATATAATGTAGCAACGTTAATGTTAAGTTTCTTGAAAGTGTTATTACTATTTTTGATCCAGCTCTATCATTTTCGAAAGTGCAATATTTCAGTTCCTATATTCCTTGAGGAGTTCGAGACACATTTTCCTGAAAAATACTTCTCCAAAAATTCTACAAATACTTTCCTTTTAGTCAACTTGTTGTTCTTCCTAAATTCTCTGATGTTTTCTTGATGCATTTATCCTCATACACCTGGCAAGCATTAAGGAACAAAAAATGTTTGTTTCATACCTGGTTTTAAATTTTCTAGAAAGTTGGATGCGCCGAAAAAATTTGAAAAAGTCACAAAAAAGTTATCTGGACCCCCAATGTTGTTGCACAAGAGGCCATTCGTTGAAAACCAGGGACTAGAATAACAAAAACAACTGATGTTCTATTTTTTTCGATACTTGTTTGACATCTTATGACTTTTATATTATAAGCAATTGAATGCATCCATTTTTGGCCAAATATGTTCCCAGGTTTTTCGTACCATTAAATGTGTTATGAGAGAATTAAATCCGCCTTTAGAGAGTAGTCTGGTGATCTATAGTGAGGCTCCTGTACTTTACTCAGGGTTGAAAAAAAAACGCTTAAAAAAAAACAAAAATCGTTTTTTTTTTGTTTAAAACTGTTTTTTTTATTTATAAATTCAAATTTAGCTGAAAAAAACATGTTTAAAATACTGTTAGTACATGTTTCAAACAGTGAAAAAAAAATTAAAAACTATTGCCTATATAATCTAGCAACCTTAATGTTAAGTTCATTGAAAGTGTTATTACTATTTTTGATTAAACTCTATCAGAGCACATCTCTAATTTAAAAGCGGACGTCGGGGAAGTACCGTTTGCCTTTGGGTAATTTTTCGCGTTGCGATCTCCAGCAGTCAAATGTGCGAAGTCGTAGCGTGGTGGTGTGTTTTGTTTTTTGTGCATTAAAGATCGGCAAAAGGCAATTACAGGGAGGAGAAAGGATCCCGTGTGGAAATATTTTAAGGAGACTGATGCCAAAGCTGACTCGAAAATAAATAAAAGAGCAAAATGTTTAATCTGCAATATTGATATAGTGCCACTGGTGGCTAGAATGCGCAAGCATATTAAATATTGTAAACAACTTAAACGAGGAAGTTTGTTAGAAAAACAAAATATTCATATATCAGACAGTTCAAAACAAATTGGTTTAAAACACCTTCATTGTTTTAAACAGTGTTCAGGAATAACTTTTTCCATCAAGCAAACGTTAAAAAAACATCTCTTCTCGAGATGTAATTGAACTGTATTAACCGTATATTAGCTATTCTACTTCCTTGTTTTCAATAGTTGTCCTCCCAGACTATAGCTACTGACAAAACTATTTTAAAGCCATTATACTACCAGCTCTCAATGTTCCTTTTATTTTCAGACTACATATAAGGCGAGATCATCTGCTAGAAGATGCTTTTCGTAGAATAATGTCTGCTGGCAAGAAAGAACTCCAGAAGGGCAAACTTTGCGTGGCATGGGACGGAGAGGAAGGTTTGGACTACGGAGGACCGTCCAGGGAGTTTTTCTTTCTACTGAGTAGGGAGTTGTTCAACCCTTACTACGGGCTGTTCGAGTATTCTGCCAACGATACGTACACTGTGCAGATATCTCCCATGTCGGCGTTCGTCGACAACTATCACGACTGGTACGTATCAGAAATCGTTTCGCAGGTTGCACAGTCACACCAAGCACGTCTAGCAGTACTCAGTTTTTATACCGAGTGCCCCGAATAGTAGCTATTGAGTCATCAACTTTATTGCAGAACATTTCAACAAGCTTGTAATGAAGTGTTTGTGAAGCTCATGTTTCATAGGGTAATTTTTAATCATTTATGGGATTGGTTCTCTTTATGTATTGAAATGTTAAGGAAGAAGTCAAAACAACGGAAACTACGAATTTATAAACAGGAGACGTCAAAATGTGCTGGATACTCGTAAAATTTTTTTCGGTTTACTCAACTGTAAAGTTTTCAAAACCAACGTACATTTTAGGTTAGAAAATCTTCCTTAAGTCGAGGAATTCCTCGACTTCGCTCATCTGTCTGTTTGAGTTCCACTCAAGTTTTAAGTGTATTGGTGCAACAAAAATATCGGATTTAAGAATCAACTCATCTCAAAGTCGACCTTAGCAAGGCAGTGGAAGCAGGCATTGACTTGTTATCCGTAGGTTGTTAGCTAAGTTAGTCTAAGTTACTTTTTAAACCTGACATAAGTGCCTAACTTTACTAATTAATTTTATTTTCAGGTTTCGTTTTAGTGGTCGCGTGTTAGGCCTAGCGTTAGTTCACCAGTACCTTCTAGATGCTTTTTTCACCCGTCCTTTCTACAAGGCTCTCCTCAGGCTACCGGTGGCTCTCTCGGATCTAGAGAGTCTCGATCACGAGTTCCATCAGTCTCTAAGGTGGATTCGGGAGCATGATGTCTCTGCTGTGCAGGTAGATACAAAAACTATTATGTTTGAAACACTTTTATTCGTATAGGTTGTCACTAAGGAGAACAAACACGATGCCTTGTTGGTCTAGCACAGTTAGTTGTCTAAAAGCGTGTTCTCACTGGTCGATTTCAGTCGTATGATTTTTAAATATTGTCGTATTGGAACTTCACTCAATTGGTATAGAACATATTTGAATAATCGATCGCAAATTCTAAAATTATCAGGACATTATATTTCAAAACATTTAAATATAAACGCTAGTTTAGCTTACGAGGGTGGTCCCATAAGTACCCGACCCAACGAAGAAAACACAAAATTTTTGGGCTAAATCTGGTAAATAGGGTGCATAAGGTAGCAATTCAAACTTTAATTCGTTAATTTTGGCCATTGTAATAACGGATTTGTGAGCTGGTGCATTGTCTTGATGAAACAACACTTTCTTCTTAACCAAATGTGGCTGTTTTTGCTTGATTTCATCGCTCAAATGTTCGCATAATAATCGCCGTTGATAGTGTTACCTTTTTCAAGATAGTCAATGAAAATTATCCCACGCGCATCCCAAAAAACCGACGCCATAACCTTGCCTGCAGATGAAACGGTCTTCGCCGTCTTTGGAGTCGGTTGTCCCTTTTGAATCCATTGTTTTGATTGTTCTTTTGTCTCGGGTGTTTCATCCATGGTTATGAAACGACGCAAAAATTCTGCTTTGTTGCTGTGAAACTTCGCTAAACACTCAATTGAAACATCTTCACGACACTGTTTTTGCTCGATTGTGAGAAATCGCGGCACCTATTTTGCACACAGCTTTCTCATGTCCAAATTTTCAGATAATATGCGATGAACCGCACTTTTTGAAATGCCTACTATGTCTGCTAGCTCGCGCACTTTCAGTCGACGATCATTCATTACCGCTTTGTGAATTTTCTTCACCATTTCTGGAGTCGTCACCTCATTTGGTCGACCACTGCTATGCTCGTCTTGGCAGCTCATACGGCTTCGTTTAAACTCTGCTACCCAATACTTTACTGTTGTAAACGAAGGAGCAGACTCACCCAGAGTAGAATCCAGTTCAGCTTTTATATTGGTTGGGCTCAGGCCCTTGAAATAAAAGTATTGTACCACATAACGATGACCAATTTTCTCCATTTTCACAAATTCGCTGCAAACGTTCAGTATTGATGGCTGCCAAACAAATACTAAACAACGTGGCATCTTCAAACTTGACACATATGCTTTATAGGTTGCATACTTTCTAACACAATGATATTTTTCAAACAACTATCGCCATCTCTAGGTCAGGCCGGGTACTTCTGGGGCCATCCTCGTATATCAACGATTCAATAAACTTGAACATAAATGGCAAATTCGTAGTTTTCAATCAAAAATCGTGTAACAACAATTACTTGACTTTTAATGTGAATAAGACAAAATTTATGACTTTTGAATGCTCCTTTGATTTTATAAGTTTAAATGATAATTGATCATAAATTAGATCTTACTAATCATGACGACAAATTGCATACCTAACTATAATTTATCCAACTAAGTATGGAGTAATAAAACAAGTGTCAGGGCAGCCCGATTTACATCGCCCAACTACCTGGAAAACCGATAATGCGTTATCTCCAGTGGCGGATAGGTTTTAAAATTCATTAAGGTAGCATTTAATTTATTTTCACTGTTTCTTCTATCTTTTCATTACTTTCAAGGTTTATTACATTGATATATTAAATATGCTACCCCAGTTTAAGATTCTTTAACTTTACATCTTTTTAATATAATACCTAATAATGATTCTACCTGGATTCATTACTACGTATGTTGCGACAGCTCTATCCGGATAGACTTCAAAGTGGATTATCCCAATCATGTGTAATCCTGACAGTTTATTTCGGCAATCCATAAGTCAAACCAAAACTGATAACGTCAAAATCTTGGACAGAGGGCTCCTTCGTAATTAGCGGTCAGGATTAACACAGAATTGGGATAACCTACTTCAAAATCTATCCGGATAGAGGCGTAGAAATAAACATGGTAATTATACAAGTATAGGTCCTTCGTCATTATAATCTAAATATTCTGAATCGTTTCCTAAGTTCATCAATCACTGGTTCAACCACTCTTTCCATACATTGGTCAGTTGTTTTCTTCTTCCTTCTCTTGAAAGTTGTGTTTTTTCTGGAAACTTCGTTTTTAATTTGCGTCCAAATTAACTTGATTGGGTTAAACTCGCAATGGTAAGGAGGCAGGCGTAAAATAGTCCGATTGGTAGATTTAGCTATTTGCATACTTGCCAGCACTTTTATTGCCCTTGACCAGATTTAAAAGTCCTGTTTTGACCATATCGTTGTCAAAGGGAACATTATGCTTTCGTAGCCATTCCTGTATTTCCCCTCTTTTGTTTCCACGGTTTGGTGCTTTATCATCCTTCAAATAAATTGACATTCATATCGGCTTGTTTTGATTCAAATACCAATAGTCCGTCTTCCAGGAAGCCATTATCAGATCCGAAGTGTAAGATAATTAGCTGTTTTCATTTTCCTGAAGGATTTTTTAATCCCGTGGAGAGACCTTCCAGGAAGGCTTGCCGAGGATGCTCAACTAATAAATCCACCCATACTTTACTAACAGGGTGCTCTGCATTGAGCCAAGTCTCGTCTAGGTAGTATATCTTCCTGCCTTCTTCTATATACTTTCAGCTTTCGCGTAAGAATGTACGTCTCCAACATATTATCTCGTCCTTTTCTTTCAAGATGCTATTTCGCTTCCTTCCTAAAAAACTAAAAATTACATTAAGTCTTTAAATTCGTTAATTCAATGAACCATATTATACGAATAACGAATTTCAGGTGATTCATCTTAACAAAATTGCAAATTTAGTCTAGTCATAAAGTATAGATAAAGAATGATGAAAAGCATAAAAAACTCTAAACTATTTTTGTGTGTGAATTATACATACCTGTACATGCATTAATAAATGATAAAAATAATTGAAAATAAGTTTTAAAAATCAAAATGTGTGCAATAGAAGTAGCTATCACATTAGTGGGTAAGATATTTAACAGAAAATAACTATTATTTAGAATTATACATCAAACTACAAAAGATTTTAAACTATAGTTCAAAGCTAAATTAATGAAGCACACCAAAAAAAAAAAAAAATCTGCCGCACGCCACAGTCCTGTGCTATTGTGAACTTGGCGGCTTATCTACCGAAAACGGACTAATAGAAGCGAGTCGCGTGCCGGTCAGATGATTTATTACTCCGTACGTTCCTTGGATATATTACAGCAAAGATTTCTTTCATTATAGTAATAATTAGTTATTACTATGTAGGGAAAAGCACAGCCTTAAGCTTTTGCCTTATTTAAAAGTATATCGAGATATAGCACATTGTTTTTTGATGTGTCTGTTCCCAAAATTGTTTAAAAAAAACTGTTTATTCTACAAAACGAACTATTAGATATATAACTAAAAGCAATCCTAGAACTACATGCAGGCCTTTATTGGTAAATCTTAAAATAATAACTGTCGTATATTTGGTTATTTTGGAAACTGCAACTCTTATTTTTAAAAGTAAATCTAAATTTGAAACATTACATTACAACTTACAACATTAGATGAAAACAAGATCTTAAATTAGTAGTACTTAAATTAACATTTATGAAAAACTCAATAATTTATAATGGTCTGAAAATGTACGTGTCTCCCCGATGCTATCAAAACAATTAACAACTTAAAGATATTCCGCTATGAACTTTTTATATAATCATTATTTTTCTTCTTCAGGGGGAATTAGAATTAACTTTTGCTGTAACAGAGGAAGTTTTCGGCCAAGTGACTGAAAGAGAGCTCAAGCCTGGTGGCAGAAACGTACCTGTCACGGAGAAAAATAAAAAGGTAAGACATTGTTGTGATTACCACTATGATATCGCTGGATTTTAAAACACTTGTACTGACAAGTGCTCATTTTAAACATTAGGCCAGGCGCTGGATGGAATTGAGTTTGCAAAATATACGGACCATACTTTATGAAGAGGAAGTCAAATAATAATATTCCATATTCCAATTTTTTATCCCATCCTCTTTTAACTATTTACAAAAACGTTTTCGTCACTCAGACCATTTTTTTCTGATTTGTCGGTTCAATCCGAACAAGCACGGTTCGCAGTTTTCGAGCTATAAGCCACTTATTGTCTGAAAAACCCTGGAAATCGTCATCTTTAATGAATAAAACTGAGGTTAGAAACCATTATTTTTGAAGCTGCCAAGTATCTCGTGTTTCCTATTTTCTTAAAAATATTTACAGTAGCGTGCGTCAAGAAACAATAGTTTATGTCAAATTCCACGCCAGCATGCGGAAACTTGTTAATTTTAAATTTTACTTTATTTAGACCAAACTATGTAATGTCTTTTTCACGAGTATCCATTACGGTAGTATAATGGTTCAGTAACTGAGAGGTAAACAGTCCATTTTGATTCAATTTTGAGGTATTCTAACATATTACCTCAAAATTAAAATATTAACTTGACTCTTTTTTTGTTAAGCACCACCTTTTTAATGTTGATGTTTTTAATTTTGAAAATACGATATGTCCGTTGTTGAAGCTGTATTGAAATTTTTGTTTGTTTTATGAATTACTCCAAACTTTTAGTTTTTGCACTTCGGATACAGGGTTGATTATCTAGTAATATTTAAAAATTCTCCATATCGACGTATGACATTCTGACGGATCCGTCAACGCCAGGTAGACGGAGTCGTACTATGTTTTGTTTTTTACTATACAGATTCATTTTATATTTGCTAATGTTCATAGGGCAACTGTCTACAATATCCGAAAGAATGACGTGTTAAATATTTGCTCTATGTTTTGATACAAGTACAAATATTTTGCATGCTGATGAAGAAAATCAACATTTTCGCAATATCAACTAACAAAGAACAAACTATATTTGTAGCCTGAATTCTTTTTTGCGTCCTAGCTGTAACCTCAAGATCCTTGTATCATTACCAGTCAGTCAATACTAGCCTCGCTCTCCATTTTTCTTGAACAATCTGCATGTTTCTATCACATGATGATTCTTTTATTACAGGAGTATCTGGAGCGCATAGTTCGTTGGCGGTTAGAACGCGGCGTTGCAGAGCAAACGGAATCGTTGGTTAGAGGCTTCTACGAAGTGGTCGATCCACGATTGGTGCAGGTGTTCGACGCGAGAGAATTAGAATTGGTGATCGCGGGTACAGCGGAGATAGATCTGGCCGATTGGAGGGCTAACACTGAATACCGGGGAGGATATCATGATCAGCATCCTGTCGTCGTTTGGTTCTGGCAAGCCATCGAAAGGTAAGCCAACACTTTCCAGAAACATATTTCGTTGGGATACAGTATGTGTTCCTAAGGGAAAAGGAAATTGAAAGTATATCAAAAGTACCTATGAAAAGAGTTAAAAAATAAGCACTGGGCAATGCCATCAGGTAGTAGTAAAAAGATACAGTAGAAAGATGCATTGAGCACTGTTGTACAATTGTAGATTTAATATGTGATTCCTCAATTTTACTTTAATTTGGTCAAAGTATTAAGGTCTTTTGTTTCAGTGTTTAAGTTAACGAAATTCTTTTTGATATTTGAGTTTTATATTATAATATAAAATGCCCGGTAAATAGTACGACAAAAAATTGGGGAAGATTAGCGAAAGGCTACAACATACCAAAAAATGACAATAGTGAAAGTGTCACTGTTTTTGAGATATTAATTTTTTTTTCTTTTTGAAAATTTTTTTCGTTTGATCTACCATTCGACGCAGGAATTTGCAGTAGCAGTCTAGTTCATTTTTATTTCATTGCTGAATACCAAAGTTGAGTAAAGTAGTTTTCTAAAATAAAAATTACGAAGAAGAAGTTGGTTTGTCAAGTTTACCTACTTGTATCTATCGAAAATGATATTTCAAATGGCAGACCAACTGTCTGAGAGTATTTTGCAAAAAAAGCATATCCTGTTTTTTCTAGGCATAGTTAAAAAAGAGAGATAAAAAAGTAATATCTCAAGACCAGTGAAACTATTATTGTGTCATTTTTTGGTATGTTGCAGATTTGACCGTCGCCTGTCGTCCCTATTTTTTTGTCGTACTATTTACCGGACACCCTGTATAATTATACTCCATATATGTGGTTTTGATTGGGCCAGACAATCGAGTCCTAATGAACATAAAATCTGCATGAAGTTTGAGGAGATGTCATATTGTGAATAATACGCATGTATCTGTGGATTACGGCTTATTGACCGTAGATCATGAATTCAAGTAGCCCATTAAATTAACACTTTTGACCTCACAAAAATTCTAGTATGATAATGAGATATTGTTCTTTAGTCTAACGGAAAGTTCAAAGATCCTGCGATAGACGACACATTAATTCCAGTTAGTGGATCAGTAGGAAAATTCAAGATGTAATGAATAATGAAATGGACAAAGAATGAATTTAATATGAAAAAAATATTAAATTTATGATCATAGGTTCAAAAAATAATTGCAAGAAATCAGTGTATTTAAATTTGTCAATGCAAATTGAAGGAAAGGTACTTGATTTTGTAGGTAGTTTTACATATTTAGGTATTATAATAGATCAGCAACTAACCTTAAACAATCATATTGAGTGTATGTGTCGGAAATTAGGCAAAAAGATCGATTATTTTCGTTTGCGACGAGTCCCTGGTGTAGAAGGGCAGTCTACAGTACAATGATTTTTCACTTTTGATTACAAGCACAAATGAGAAAAAGCAAAGGGTACAAATTCTAATAAATATTTTTTTTTCTTAAATTGTGCCTTGTATACATTGAATTTTTTAAACATACACCAAATCATTCAAGATGCAAATTTAATTCTTTTATAAAAAACTATCAATAATCAGCCTCCATCTGATCTTGAACAGTTTCTAATAAAAGATTTGAAATGCAAGGACATTAGATCTAAAGAAAATTTCCATATACATACAAAGATTTAAAGCTAAAGGTTTAGAAAAGTCAATGTTTGTTGAAGGTCAATCTTCCTGTTATTATAATAACATCTAGTAATGCTATAATTTTTAAAAAGAAACTTCGGGGAGACCATTTTGGTTTGACTTTTTAAATTTAACAACTTTTGTCTAAATATATTATTGCTTGATGTAGCTTAAAGCTAGTCTCTAGTCTATTCTGTTTCCTTGTAGCAGTAATATTATCACGATATATCACACAAACTGTCCCTAAAATGTAAAGGCCCTATCGTCAGTCGTTCCTACAATTGTAGGATGGCTTTGTGGCCTCCTTGATTTTGATAGTATTTTTCCTCCTTCAGAAAGGCTGGAGTAATTCTAGATTTCTACTGTCTCTCTTTCCTATTGTGAGACTATGTTTTCTTTTTGAATTGTCGGAAATTTCAGGCTGATATAACAGATGATATATATGAACAATTTGATACAAATAGATTTTATAACATAACCTCAAAATAGAACGCTGACATGGAACAGTAGAATACTATGAAAATCAAGGAGATCATAAAAGCGTCCTACAATCCTGGGAATACTGACTGACGATACGACCCTAAATTGATGAATTGACAGAAGCATGGATGTCAGGCGACAACAGTAGTTTCTAAATACATACCGCTCTTATCGTAATCTTGGTTCAAGTATCGTGGCTTTACTATAGGCTGATGAGGTTGTATGACATAAAAATAATGTGTTCCCACGACTCAGGAATTAGAGGCAAGGCATATAACCTCATGAAAAGTTACCTTTCCAACATAACACAGTGCGTACAAATAAATAATTCCTTAAGCACAAACAAATTGATAACGTATGGTGTCCCACAAGGGACAGTCTTAGGCCCCTTATTATTTACACTTTACATTAATAGACTGCTGAGCTGAAAATCTGAAGGGATAATCGAGACGATACTGCTATCATTTATTTAGATAACAACTCGTGGGATGATCTATAAGTGAAGGTTGAAAGAGAGTTAACAATAATTGCAGACTGGTTCAGACATAAATACCTAACTAATTAACTTTCAAAAGACTATGTTCATGCCATTCACAAATCACAGAAACAAATTACCATCCTTTGTATCTAAAAATATTCACTGTGATAATATAAATACTCAAATAAATTTAACAAACAAAATTCAAGTATCTACACAAATATTTGGATAAAAAAAATTTTATATCATGCTATGATCGAAAGTCGTATAAGTTACGCAATATTAGGTTGGGGTGGAGCACTTAATAACCAAATTAATAAATTAGAAATTATCCAAAAACAATTTAAAAAATAATCTTTGACAAGCCACTCTGATCTGTTGTATTCTGAAGCAAAACTATAGGCAACAATTTTTTTATATAATTATAAATAATCAATTTCACCATAGAAATAATCTTATTCCGTTGGATCACTTATATCAAACTAGAAACAAAATCAACAACATAAAGCAAACACCTTTCACCTCAAAAAGTATAGGCCAAAGATGTCATACTTACCTTTCCAGTAGATTATATAATATATTACCAAATTATATAAGAAATATTACGAATAAAATAATTGAAACCAAAAAATGTATAATTGAAAAAACCGGAATTCAGTTTATTTACGTATACCGATGTTAGTTTTAGTTATTTTGTATGTTACGTAAATAAACTTATTATTATTATTTACCAACCAACTGAACCTATCTTATGTTTTATTGCAGGTTTACGAACGAGCAGCGTCTTCGCCTGCTCCAGTTCGTGACAGGCACGTCGAGCGTCCCTTTCGAAGGGTTCGCCGCTTTACGGGGCAGCGTGGGCCCCCGCAAGTTTTGCGTGGAAAAATGGGGCCGACCGAACAGTCTCCCACGTGCGCACACCTGTTTCAATCGGCTCGATTTGCCTCCATACCCCACAGCAGAAACGTTATACGACAAGTTGCTGTTGGCTGTTGAAGAGACGAATACGTTCGGTATCGAGTAGATTCGTAGTATGAATGCGGCTTTTGCACTCGTCGTTTATTGTATGTATGCGCGGATATGATAAATTGGATAAATGGCGAGGGGTACGTGCTAGCGATGGCGCTGCTCAAATAAAGATGGCGCGTAGAGAGGAGTTGATTGGAATTTTGTAATTTTAGGTTCACACATAACGTCGATTTCTCGACTATCAAAAACGGGTTGAACATGCCGTCGTCCTATGTAACAAACTGCTCTGAGACACAAAATGGTCCTAAGAGACGATTTATGCACGCGATTTGTTTCACATGACAACGTCGCACGACAAGATCGTGCGTTTTGAAAAAGTCGTACGATATTTCTCTTGACGTGCGGTTTCTAGACAAGAAATCTGTCAAAAGGCACGACCTTGTCGAGCGATACAAATTGCATGAATAAATGTGTTCAAAGTTGACCAGGAAGTCGTATTTTGAGCACGAAACATAACACCATTTCTGGGGGAACTCCTATGTAATTGTAATCACATTTTTTGGACAAAACAGTAAGGAAATTTCTCACAAAAGTTGACACGGAAAGTTGTAAGCATAATACTTGAACGCGCAAATTTTACATTTGGAGCTTGATCTCGGAAATGTAAACCGAAGTAACACAATCATAGGAAACACAAAATCACAAGATATTTCATCCTCTAATAACTTTTTGCCTATTTTTATGACCTATACTGGTTGCGTTTTCCTCAGGCAACCACACACACTTCCAAGGTCTAGACACAATATTAACCCTAAAGTTGAACATCTTGTTCAACATAATATCTTTGAAATTCCAAAGTGCCCAGGATTTACAGTCACTCAAAGCTCAAAGTAAAATGAGTGTGCAACGATACCTCAAGTGCTTGATCTTTTTGGTGGGTTGTGAAAGGATAATGTAACTTTATTTGGTGCTTTGAATCTAGGAGCATATATATATAACAAACGCGGGCAACTTCTTGAATCCACTTTTTACTAATAAAACATTGTCCTAATATAAAATCTGCCACCGTTGATACTATGCGGATAAACACCGAGGGTCAATATATCCATGAGCTCGATTTTCCCTACATACGTACCTCTCTCCAAAATTGAGATATTTAAAAATTATATCTTTATGTCTATGTTTTCAGTGTTGAAGCTTTTATTGAAGTTGCAGGATCAATTTCTGTATGTAAAGCTCATTGTGCATATGTTGCATAGGAAATCTACGAGAAAAAAATCACAGAACTGCATCTTTTCGTATATACCGTTGGCCTTTATACTTAGGGCATATGTTTTCTATGGATTCTGGGAAAGTCAGGGATATTCGAATTGTTTTCGACACTCTTTTGCTTACCTTATGGTGGCTCTAAAGTATTGAGGACCACACGTTCTGTGTCTGACATATTTCAATAGATCTTTTAAAAATAACACAACCTAGTTTGGATCTTTGGAGGACGAGATAAAAAATCACTATTATGTTAAAATTGAGAATCGCAATTAAGCCCACGCATAAAGGAGTATTTAAGGTGGCACGTCTCTTTTTTAGATTTCTTTTGAACTTCCTGTTTGCAGCAGTATTCTAAATCCTTTGCATCTGATATTTTGATGGTGTGTATAGAGATCAATAAAAAACAACAATGTTTTTATTTTTTTGTAAAAAAATGCATTTTTTTGCATTTTATTGTGCATTCCTTCTTCAATCGGAACTTGTTAACAAATAAAAGGGCAGCTCTGAAATTATGTGACAATGAAACGTTGATTACTTTTCTTCTTATCACTTCTCCTTTTCGAAAAATCATTGCTTTCCTTGAAAACTTAACTTGTTGCGAGACGAGGCTACAAGAAAATCAAAGATTTTTCGAAAAGGAAAAGTGATAAGTACAAAAGTAATCACTCGTTTCATTCTTCCATAATAGAGGAATATTCACACACAATTTCAGAGCTGAACTTATATTTTTTGTTAACAAGTACCGATTTAAGAAAAAATGCACAATGAAATGCATTTTTTGACAACAAAAATGAAAACATGGTTTTTTAGTCATCTCTATACTCACAATGAAGTAATCAGATGAAAAGGATTTAGAATACTGCGCAAGTAGGAAGTTGAAAAAAAAATCTAAAGAACGTGCTACTTTAAGAATTATGAAACTAATTATTTATTAATATATTGTTTGATATTGCCATTACTTGAACCTTAGAAAGGCAAGGGACTACTGCCTGGCCATAGTGAATTCAAATGTCGTGATTTTGTCGAAACACCTTTCTTATGGGTTGTCTTTTTCGGAATTTTATATTAACAACGTAATATTATATCATTAATTAATAATATTTTTGTAATCTGAAAACATCAGCCGCAGTTTTAGCGGTATCGGCATACCAAATACTATTCCGTCCATTCCTTGCAAACAAATTAAATTACTATAGCGCTAACGTGGGATTCTATCTCAGATTAAAAAAAAACTTAATTACATGATACTAAACTCAGAAAAAAACAAATATAACCTGCTATTCCGACATAACCATGACGTCATCTGAATTCAATGTGGTATTCCATGTGAAAGCAGTTCACCTTTGTAAGGTTCGTGTAGTCGCAATGTGAAAACATTTATTTTTGGATCAATAGTCTCAAATCCTTGAATCTCCCTTAAGATATTAGCTTAATTACGACACTTGATGTTGATAACAAACGTTAAGGTGAAAGCTGCTTCTGTCTCAGTAGATCCAAAGGGGGTGACTATCCATTAGGGTCCGGCAAATTCTCGGTCAAGGAACGACTGCCCTGTAGGGTGGAGTGTTAATGACCATTGAGATTAAAGTGCTGCAAAGCTATCATTGCTTGAATGCACCCACTCTTTCAGTATACAATGCTGGCCATAGACTTTTATCTGGCCGATCTCCAAGTGTGCAAGAGAGAAAAAGATGCGTGCAACACGTGTGTTAGAAAAAGTGCGCCACAACCACGTTATTGTCGTTCTCAAGGAACAGGATGACTACACTTGGTTGTCGCGCTCACTCTAACGCGTTGCGTTGCACGTTTCTTTCTATCTCTCTCAGACAAACACTAAAATCAACCAGGGAAAATGTCTACTATTCATTTCTATGTATGCATTTCAATTACTAAGTGTTTTTATAATCAAAAAGAATTACCTTTTGATACTTCCTGCTTGTCTATTTTGACTATTATAGATATTTTCCACAAACGCTGATTTCTTATGCCGTATGCAACCCTGCTATTCAAAGATGCATGGAACATTTTTATATTTTCTATTTGTGTACGTTCATAACTGTATTGTAATGATGGAACCATGTGCTCGATACTCGCGTTTATTTGTTCATTATTTGTGAATCGCTTATGTGTTTTTGTTTGTTTCATTTTGTAAAATAGGAGTATTTATTTTCTGTTTCCATATTATATTTTGCATATTGTCAGGGAGATTGATACTATTATTTATTTGTAATTCTTATTAAGTTACCAATGATTATTTTGTACGTAGTGTAGATATATCGAATTAATGTGATTTATGTTATTCTAGTCAGTAAATTATGTAAAAATGACAGCATACCACGTGGCACAAAAATTACTGACGTACCGTATGCTGTTTACCACTTTTCTATATTGTCGGATTCGAAATATGAAGCTTTTAGAGATGTTTGTTTCTGAAACAAGATATGTAACATTCCAAAAAATAAACTTGTTATAACAAATCGCTTTTTATTGTCAACCATGGCCATACCTAGAGCAGCTTTACAATAATAACAGAACTGCCCTAAGCTAGGAAAACGATACCGTCAAAAAAATTGTCAAATTTCGCATCCTCCAACGTCCAAGATGAATATTACGAATTAGATTTGGCTTTGTTGAAAAACAAAGCGTCCTCCACCTTACATGAATTGGGGCTTACTAAATGGAATTCAGCAGCCCAAGCCCGAGGTAGTCATTCAAAATGTTGGACTTTATGGTGCTACCGATAATCAGCGCCATCTATTGGATAGTAGCCGAATAAAAAAAGAAATTTTTTAATAGTTTTAATAATGGCACGTAGATGGAGCTCTAAAAGCTTGCTATCATACGCCTCATAAAATTTAACTAGTCAAATGAATGTATTAGGGATGGTCGGTCGGGGCTTGGGACGGTTATATGGCAACGCATCCTCCAATGATCAAGAAACTTAAATTGCCGTGAAGGGGGTTTAAAATCCCCCATTTTTAGTTTAAGTAATTGTATTAATAGTATATCTAAGAAAGCGTATTATTTTGCTTTGTTGGAAAACAAAGATTCTACCCCCTTTCCATATTCGAGATTTACTGAAGCTTTGTTCATTTGCTCCAGGTAGTCATTGAAATATGTAAGGCGTGTGATATAAAGACATTAGCATCGCCCTCTGTTGCACGATAGCTGAACTAAAATTACACTTTTTGTAGGCAACTTTTTGCGGCCATGTTAGCAGCTAGTTTGGATTTTAAAAGAAAACAATATACCTCAAATTCTCCAAACGACTATTCCTTTTGAGGTGTTTGCAAAGACAAACTTGCAAGGGCTAGTTGTCAGTTAACAAACACTTAGGCAGCAATTAATTTCACCAGACTATTTCCATCGGCGCCATCGACTACTCGGTGCACGTACCTGGTCAGGGTTAGAAATGAAAAACATCAGATTCTTAATTATAATCTTTATTCATATTTAAATCATACGATAAACTGTGAACGTAACTTAGCAGACCGACTTATCTATTAAGTGGCACTGAACAGTCACAATTCGGATCATCCACAAAAAAATGCACAAGTGACATACACTCACAACATGTGATAACAATCGTGACGTCAACCCTCCAACCAGTCTGATCAATACAGAAACAGAGTAGGCTGTAGTGTTAACGATACAAACATGATTAAATTCATAACAGGAATTTACCGATCCGTCTTATTTTTGTAGTCGTTAAGGCATCCTTAAATTTTTGAGCGGATTAAGTAAGCAAGCTGGGTGGTATAAACAACAACTTGAAAGATAGGAAAAATGGGTACCAGCGGGATTTGAACCCTTTCCGTGGAGTCGGCCTAACCAGTTAGTCTACGGCACCAGCTGCCAACCAACTTCCATAATCGACTGTTAGAAACCACTTCAATCCTAACTACGCCACTGTTCTTTGTTCTTTCAAGCTGCTTGATTGCCACATCTTTCGACGTTCAAGCGAAACAAACCGGTTCCAATCGCTTTCTTGTTGCACCACGGCGTCTCGTGGGCACACACCACGGTACCCACCTTGAATACGTAAAAAATGTTCCAAGGATTTTTTTAAACATATAGCGACATGTAACGACCCAAAATAAGACGTAAGGAAAAACTCATTTTGAATACAACATACGCACAGGTGACATATTCGTACTACCCCGCTATGAAAAACTGAAATGAAATTGAAAACTCATCTGTTGAAAAGTTAAATGAAACATACGGGTAGGAGTTACGAATATGTCTAATATGACCACAGCCCAAAAATATTTTTCCATGCATAACAAAGTACTATCACCTAAATTTATACAATACGTCTAGTAATGATACTAAAAAATAAAAAATAAAAAGGAAAATATCGGGAATACAGCTATCGATATTTGAAGTGTGGTAGCTGTAACGTTCCATTCAAGTTGTCTTATACTTTGCAATGCCTCACTCACTATCAATTTTTTTAATGGACGGATTCAAAATTGTTGATGGTTTATTTCTTTTGAAATACCCTAAAATCAACATACAATTAAAAAATTTTCAACAGTTAAAAAACCAGGTTTTCAATTACGAATTTTTTATCCAGATATTAGGAGTATTTACTTCTTGATACTACAATACACAACTGACTCCCTTCAAAATGATGACTGACTGAAAAATTGCAGAGTACAAAAACAGCTAATAAGCATCAACTTCTTGATAAACATTCTTGGCAGGTCATACTGAGTTGCTGTATTTTAATATATTCTGAATATGTACTATAACAAACTGGAAACCTTCATGGTTTCCAACTCTTAAATCTCTCTGTACGTAATTTCGATCTAAAAATTTTCCAGTACAAATCTCGCCTTTAGAAGATTTTTCCCAGAGCCTGATCTCATGTATAAACTAGGCCTAGTCAGAATCTTTTAAACGCGGATTATGCTCTCTGCAACAAAACTCAAACGTAATTATATTATATAAAATGTAATGTTATCATTAAATATATATATATATATATATAATAGTATGTATATCTGAACACCGCTTTACATTATTTACTTAACTAAGTAATACCTTGGCTATGTACAATGAAAACACCCTGTGTAAATAATAATTTAAAGAGGCACAACTTTGTGTGTTCATGTACAGAGCATCTCAAAATATATGCGGGCAAAAAGAAATAATAAGCATTCCCATGTGCAAGCGAAGAGCCCTCAGTGGTCCAGTACTAACTGAATGATCATAGTACCATAGTTTTTTCTTACAAGGGTGTAAGGTCTTATACCCTTCGGTGCCGTAGCTTCAAGTGTTGATAGATACTACACTTAGTACATTTTCAAAACGTGCACAACTTGACAGAAAATAAGAAAGGTATTTCTCTCGAAAGGGTCAGTCAAATGCTTCAATGTGAGAATTGACGTGTTCCGTAAAAATTTACTTTCACCAACAAATAAAAAATTTTATTAAACAAAAACTATATCATATCATATTTAGTTGCACAAAAACGCGAAATCTCATCGAGTGAAGATTCCATACGACTGCATTCATCATCACCAATTTTCCAGAAAATGATTAAATACGCATGATTTACAATGATTTGCCAGTTAAATCGATGCTCTGTTTTTCACGGCAATCATCATCCAATAACATGTACTATTAAATGAGGTAATTAATAAAAATGACAACTGATGTATTTCCCAACGTCCACAGTATTTTAATATTAAAAAACAGCAATTCCGCAATACTTACAATTAAATGATGAAAAACTTTTGTAAAATCAGCTAACAAAAAAAATTACAGGCTGCCTGTTATTATGTAAATTAGCATTGTTGACATTTTGACAAAAGGCACATTCACGAGAAATTTCTCCCTTATTTAAAATTGTGCACCTTAGAACTTTAGGAATATATGACATTAGTAAGTATCTTTCGATACATAAATCTGCGGTCAAATCGGTGACTCGAATGGAGTAAGGGCTGCTTGTTTGAAGTTGAGCTGTTCTTTGATGATAGAGCATTTTATTCTTGAATTCCAGAATTTAAGTTGTCTTTATATTGATAAAATATTTTGAAACGCTCCATATCACAGTTTCTTTTCACGGTTAGAATGGAGAAAAACCACTGGAAGTAAGTGACTAGTGTAAACTAATACAGATATAGATATCGTAAACGGTTTCCTTCAACAAACTGAAGTTATACAGGGCGTTCCTCAATGATGTGTTTCTTGGACCCATTTTAAGAAAAAGATTCATTCGAACGTAACATATGTCGTAAACTTTTAAGTTGCAGGGTGGAAATGTTTTCAGACAAGATCTTAATTTTATAATAACTGTGATATCTTTATGAAATTTGGTGAACGTTTCCTATGCATCAAGACGCATCTTATGATATACAATTTTATTATTTCTACTAGTGGCGTCCGTACGGGTTTTGCATTGAATATCTTTCGAAAATCATCTCCCATTTTTGAACAAATTTGATCTCTTGATTTTCTTTCGGGCAACGCACAGTTTTTACTTAAAAAAATAAAAATCGTTTTACTTCACGTTAATGGTTCTTTCCTTCTTTAAGCATTAACAGGGCGAAAATGTTTTCAGAAAAAAGTCTGTATTTTATAATAACTGTGATATCCTTCTGAAATTTGGTAAACGTTCCCTATACATCAAAATGCATTTTTTGATGTACAATTTTATTATTTCTACCAGTGACGTCCGTACGGGTTTTGCATTGAATATTTTTGGAGAAGAAATGGTATGCTACTGCTTTCTCTTTGATTAAAAATAAATCATTTCGGAAATCATCATCTATTTCGGAGCAAATTTGATCTCTTGATTTTCTTCCGTGCGATTGTTTGACTTCAGGGTGATGGTTCTTTCCTCATTTAAGTTTCAACATCAATTTTTAATCAATACAAAAATAAGTAACTGATTTTACTTTAGGACAGAAAACTATCATCTGGCAATAATTAAGCTGAAATCATCGCTGAAATTTTAATGTGGTAATTATTGCCACGGTTACTTTTTTTTAATTAAGTAAAACCAGTGACATTTCTGAATTGATATTAAACGAGCTGCAACAAAAACATGCGTCGGACGGAAGAAAATCTAGAGATTAAATTTGCTCAGATATGAATGATGATTTCAAAAGTGATTTTTATTTAAAGAGAACGCAGTCGCCTACTATTTTTTTCCAAAAGTTTACAATGCAAAACCACTGGTAGGAGTGAAGAAATTTTTTGTACATCAGAAAATGCATCATGATGCATCAAAAATAACGATATCTACAATAGTAATAATATAATAATAATTGCAGATTTCTTCTTGAAAACTTTATTGGCCTGTATCTCAAAAGGATGTATGTATCTTAGGACATTCGTTCATATGATTTTCTTTTCTTAAGGGATCAACTCCTTGAATATTAGCATATCATGGTCTAGCCCCATATCTACAAGCATTCTTCCATCTAATTTGAAAGTATGAATCCTAAGACGCGATTTCTTAACGGTAAATACTTCAGTCTGTTGTAGGCAAGCTGTTACGATGCATTTTGTTGATGACATATGGAAGCGAAATGATATAAATGAATAACAAAATAAATTGTAAATGTGCTAGAGATAAAGGGAAATATACAGCAAAAACATAAATTAAACATTCTTTTGCGCATTCACTCACGTAAAAATATAACTGATACGGCTTAGAGTGAGACGGTGGCAAATTTTTCGTTATATTGAAAATGGACGAGGAACTAGTACTGATAAGTACGATACAGTTTTGTATAAAGTACGTAGTTGTTTGTGAATTCTACGAGATCCTAAAATGGACTGTAACACCATTTTGCTGTTATTAAAAATCTAAATAAATGCATAAAAATGTACGTTGGAATTCTTTAAGGCAGTACACGTTCTATTTTAAATGCGTTCTTTACTATTTTAACGTTGGAAACATTTTATTTTTTAACTTGTATATAAATTTTCCTAAGTTCATCTAAGTCTTCTACATACAGTAACACTTACATATACATTAATTTTTTGCAACAATGAAAATAGCTACTTTTATAAATCCGCATAATTCCTGGATAATGTTTAATGATCCCACATATTGAATACGAGTACAGGGTGAATACTAGGGTGAACTGCAGTTAGTATATTGGCGAGCAAAAATACCCTGTTCATAAAATTGTTAAATATTCGGAATAGATTCCGAATATCAGTAATAGAGACTCTGATATCGAAAACAAATAACTTGGTTCCTAAAATGGCTGGTTCATATTTGTGGCCGTCTAAATACATGAATAAACTATCGATACTAAGTTGTCTACCCAACTCATTTGAAAGATGTCTGTTTGTTTGGGTCGAAATTGAAACACCCAAATTACAAAAAAACATCGAAAAAGGAAAGCAAACACCTGCATTAGGAGGTGGAGACACAACTGAACCAAATAACCAGTTTAAGAATGGCATGTAATTTTGATAAACAGTTTTGAGGTGTACGAGCGAAGATGCAATTTTCTGAGAGACAGTGACCTCAGTAAATCAGCTTTCGAACTTGGTGAGCAATTTGGTTTCCGACTTCGTTGTTTCAATAGTTCTTTCAAATATGTTGTCAAACCAAAAGGATGAAAATATTTGTGCCTGATTTTAAAATTAACGTCCTTTTTTTTTGCTTTTTTCCAACTACCTGTTTGCAACAGCTTTCTAAGGAATTTTATGCTGACTACTTCATGATGAGTATAGAGATGACTGAAAAACATCGTGATTTTGTTTTTCCTAAAACGCATTTTTTGTCAATTTTATTGTGGATTTTCACTTCGATCGTAACTTGCTAACAACTATTAGTACAGCTTTGAAATTGTATGTGAATATTCCACTTTTATGGATGAATGAAACAAGTGATTACATTTATTCTTATCATTTTTCCTTTTCGAAAAATCTTTGCTTTTCTTCAGAACTCAACTTGCTGCGAGGCGAGGGCCCAAGAAAAATCAAATATTTTTTGTAAAAAAAAGTGATAAGAACAAAAGTAATCACTTGTTCCATTCTTCCATACAAGAGGAATAAACACACACAATTTCAGAGCTGGACTTATATTTGGTGATAAATTTGAAGAAAAAATGTACAAAAAATGCATTTTTTTACAAAAAAAAAATTAAAACATTGTTTTTTAGTCAACTCAAGAGACACCACGAAATTATCAGATGAAAAGGATTTAGAATATGGATGCAATCAGGTATCTGGAAAAAATCTATAAAAAGGGACGTGCCACCTTAAAACCTAAAAGTCACTATTTTTATAAATATTACATATCTGATTACGTATGGACTACGGGACTTCTCTTGATAGTTGGTGGCTTGATCCTCTTTCAAAGATGCCACTTGGATGTGTTTAGGACACTGCAGAACCGGAGTATTTTGTCAGGATTCATTTGACATATAATTTAATTTGTCTATGTCTGTTTGTAGCAATTCTGACCCAATATCCTATGTATTCTGACATGAAGCACTCCAAATCTGCCACCAATAGTGAATCTGTAGCCTTAAGAAACAAATTTTCGTCTTTTTTTTTAAATTTCTGTTCCCCAACATCCCTAACTGCATCACCTTGCCTTCTCACCTTGTACACCAAGTTCCATATATCAACTACCCGCTGCCGCTGTGGCCATAGTCACCACCGTATCACCCCTACGCCCTTGTACAACCCACCACCGCTAGCACAATATGCCCCTATCCAGCGCCGCCGCGGCTATAGGGGGCGCAGGCGATGCCTTACCACCCGCAACTACCCCTACCCTAACACCGTGGTGGTGATGGTGGTGCCGCCTGCAGGTGGGGCCGCACAACAGGCATTGAAGGACCGCTGTGGCTGTTGCGCCTTCGTTGCTGCAGGAGAATGTCGTTGAGGATGAGGCGGCGGAGGAGGAGGAGGAAGGTTTAGGGGAAGCGGTCGCGGTCACCGTGCCCATGGTGCTGCTACTGCTGCCTGGAGAGGACTCTATGGAGGGCAGGCACGAGAAGCTTTTGCGTTGCGTCATCGGTGTGGACCTGCAAACAAAAACAAATGTTCAAAATAAATGAAATGAGACAGGGCTGTATGTCGCCGTTCGTAAATCAAAATAAGTTAGATTGCAACACCTGCGTTATTAAGGGAAAACAGTCAAATTGGCTTCTGTACGTACAAAATCAGAAAAAGTGCTATTCGCTGGGTGCGCGATGACAGAGCCACCTACCGACAAATGGGCATAAGAATTTGTGCTGTATGCACTATAAAAACAAACAGATATTAATGAAAATAATGGAAGGTTAGACGATTTGAGGTTAGGGATACTTTGAATTTCAAGCAGACAATTCTCTTTTGATCTGACCAATGATGACAGCGTAAAGTTTGCAAAATTGCCAAACTCTCTTTTTATTCACTTGGACCTACTTATGAATGTCTTCTATTCGTTGTTGTCCTTCGAGCCCTTATGCTAGTAGGTGTGTCCACAGAGGAAGAAAATTTGTCCGTTCATGAACTTTCTTTTTGCAACTTGTCAAGAGACATACGGTATTCCTTCCCCCAGATAGCAAAAATAACCTTCCACTGCCTGTATTCCAGTCGCCAGTGTCATTTTTGGTGTTGTTACGTTGGTGATGGGTTAAGAAAGTTTGTGGTTATAGCAAGGACGCCCGCAGAGGAGCCATAGCCCCCCTCCCCGAGAATCCGCATGAACCTTAAGCTTTGAATGTTTCGCATGACTGTCTGTACAATTTCTGGGGTTTTTACGATTTGCCCCCTCCCCCCCTGAAAAATATTGTTATACCCCATACTTCAAAAAGTTTTTGGGTTAGGTATTGTTCTGCTCTTCAAAAAGCTTACTTGCAGAAAAAATTATGATCCCTTGGGTTCTACAACGACGCTTAGCGCAAACTGGCGTGGTAGCGATTGCCATCGAATATGTAATTTGATGAATTGCTGAGCGAATATAAAAACTGAAAATTGAAATATGGGACAAATATCTGCTCCAGTGGTTTGCTTTGGTGAGACGACGCCGCCTACCGCCATCGCTACTAGATTAATAATAAATAATAATTTTTATTAACAAAGGTACACAATACAATAATACACGTTGGTAAATACCTTATGTGCGGTTTAATATTATATGGAATTAAATATATCGGATGATATAGGATTTTCATAGCTATACAAAAATGTGGAATGCTAATTTGAAAATACAAAAAGTATGTAACGTTTTGGCGTGATGAATCTACATAGGAGTTGAAGTTGAGGGGTTAAAAAATTTATAGTAAAGTATGAGTACATTTTTAATTTAGGTAGATCGTACAAACACTTTCATTAGCCAATTGTTAATAAAAATATGTATGACAGTCCTGGAGACACAATTTGTTCACTGCTTTAATTCTTTCTTGGATACGAATTCTCTATGTATACTTTCAAGCGAGCTAGGTATACAATTATACAGGGTGTCCAATAAGTACACGACAAACTTAAGGAGAAGGTATTCTTTGGATTGACCTCCCAAATAATAAAAACTTACCTGTTACCGTTTTTGATATATCGAATTTTTTCTTGAATTTTAAAAAAAACGAACCTTTTCATTTGTGGTACAAATAAGGTTATAATTTGTTCATTTTTATATAAAATATTTCTAGATAGTTGCGTTATCATATACAAATGCAATGTAGCTAAAAGATATTAACGAACCATGATAAAATAAGGACTATAACCTCCTGATATTGTTTCCTCAACTTTCATAAAATCATATCAGGAGCAGGTAATTATAATGTAGCTTTGTACTATTTAGCATGTCACTGATTGGTAACCAGTGCAACTTGAATTTAAATCCAATGATTACATTGTAGTGTGTGTCAGTCACTTACAAAGCCAGCTGTCACTTTTGCTATCCCAAATGGTACGTGTGGTGCCTTTCTGAAATCTGTATTCAATGAGCAATCTTTTTATTAAATATAATGCAGTTATAGCCCAGTATATTTTTGTTTCATCACAGATGGTCAAAGTTGAGGAAAAAATATCAGAAGGTTATACTAGTACATCCCAAAATAGTCATTATTTGATCATGGTTCCTTAATATCTTTTAACTACATTGCATTTGCCCCAATAGAGGATTTTTGGGCTTTACTGTCTAGGAAGCTTTATCATGAAGGGCTGAGAAGCCCAAGAGGAAGAACACTTACGACGGCGAATTTACGACAAATAGAGTAATTGATCTGAACTCCGTCCAGGACCTCATGAGAGACATTAGAAGAAACTTGCGTCTGGAAGAGCAGAATGTGCCACTCCACATAATTCGATAGTATAGTTTGGTTAAGTATTAAGTTGTAATTTATGATAACTAGTTAGTGTTTAAACAAATTTCTTCATTAAAAGAATCCGATTAATATTTTGTGCCAAAACTTTCAGCACATTCGTTACAGAAAAGATAGTTTTCAGTGTGAGTCGTTGGAGTATCATTAACATCAGGTCGTTGATATGTAAACCGGCCAACATTCAAACTTGTCACATGATGTTGGAAAACACAATTGGACTTATTGAAATTGTGGGAAGCACATACCTTGGTTGAGGTAGTGTGGATGACGAAGATGAGGATGTCTGGTAGTGTCCGTTCTCGTTTGAGGTGTTCGTTGTCGACGACGGCAGTTGGGCTGGCAGATTTGTCTTTAACGAGATCCACGGATGATCCAGCATCTCGTGAATCGAAGGCCGGTCCCTAAAACAAAAAAAAAATGAAAATTGCACTGAGGAACGGCTTTGCCAACCTGTGACATCATGATACAGTAGACTACACAGTCGATCAAGTTCGCAGACATTCCAGGCCGCGCCTCGCACTGTGATCAAAATTAAATTGTGCACTTCAGACCAGCCAAAATTATTTCAAAACCTTTTTTGAGAAACAAAATTATTCGTGTAGTCAAAACAATAATACTTAAGCTATTTCAAATGATTTACTTCTTTTCTTTGCTCTATTTCTTCCTTCCTTTCTTTCCCTTTCCCCCTTAAACATGTTGTATCTGGGTAGCCAGACCTCACAGACCAACAGACCGACCAGACTTTTAACTAGTACCATGATGCAGCAGATTAAAATAGGTACAGTATGTATTTTAATAGCTCTCAACAAATATTACGATTACGCATTTTAACAATTAGTCTAATCATATTAGACGAAAATACCTCTGGTTAGCGAAATAATCTGGTTTTATTGCATCAAGTTGTTCAAAGGGGTATTCAAAACATGGACGCATAAAATCGGTACACCAATTTTTGTGGGAAAACTTTTTATTCGACCACAAAGAATGAGAAAACGTGTTTTTTGGGATTCAATCGGAAATGTTGACAGGTGCGGAAAAACTATTCATATAAGATTTTTAGGTATTTATGAGACCTACAAAATGAGACCACACGTAAAAAGATCCGACTAACAGAAAAAAGTTATGGCCGAAAACCGAGGCAAACTGCAGGTTTTTGCAGTTGTTGGTCTAATTTCTCGCAGATTCTTGAAATTCTGCAGATTCGTAGCACTCGTACTTCTAAATAATCAAATCAAAATTGGAGTAAAATGGTCAAGTAGTTTTTGAGCATTTCTAATTGTTAATCCCAAGACACCTATTTTCCGGCAATAACTACTAGTTTATTGAGCAATATACAGGGTTAGTTCAAAGGTCATTTTATAGCGTAACACACTATTTTACCTTGCCGATGTTAATCGCAAACCATTCCGAAAGATAAATGTTATTTTTATGTAAAAAGAATGGGTTACGTTTTTTCTTCTAAACAAATTCAAACATTTCGTATTTGTGAATAATTCGCAACAAAAGATGATAGACACATCCGCTTTGTTTTAAAATGTGTATAGTAATGTATGTATTTCGAATATCGTAGCGCATTTGTTTAATTACTCAAAATGAATTTGCTTAGAAGAAAATAACTTAACCTTTGTTTTTCGCATAAAAATAACATTTATCTTCGGAATGGGTTATGATTCATATCGCCAGGTAAACAACGTATATTTTGCTATTAAATGCTCTTTGACGAACCCTGTATATTACTCAATAAACTAGTAGTGATGACCGGAAAACAGGTGTTTTGCGATAAACAATTAGAAATTCTCAAAAAACTACTTGCCCAATATACTCCAATTTTGTTGTGGTTATTTAGAAGTACGAACCCTACGAATTTGAAGAATTTCACTATATGCGAGCAACCATCGTTGCATTACCACCAAGTGGCAAAACCTGCAGTTTCCTTTTCGGCCATAACTTTTTCGCTATTAGTCGGATCTTTTTACGTGTGGTCTCATTTTGTAGGTCACACAAATACCTTAACAGTTTTTTCGTTCCTATCAAAACTTTCGAAAAACACGTTTTCTATTCTTTGTTGTCAAATAAAAAATTGGTGTACCCATTTTATGCGTCTATGTTTCAAATACCCCCCTGAACAACTTGCATCAATAAAACCAGACTTTACTATTATTTCGGGGAAATTTGCTAATATGTTAGACTGAACCAAAACATCCAAAATTCAATCAGCTATACAATATAAAATAGAAAATCCTTACCTGGGGTTGACGACCAGCGCCGATTTGATGAAATCCACCGCCGCCGTTGAGACGTCATCGAAATGTTCGGGTTCGAAGCTAAGCGAACATCGGCTGATATTCAGGAAAGTCTGTTGCTTGTCGTCAGCGCCGAAAGGGCTGAAGCCGGACAGGAGGACGTACGCCAATACGCCGATGCTCCACACGTCCGTGCTCAGGCCGATCGGTTCGTACGACAGCACTTCCGGGGCTACGTAGTCTGCAGTACCTGAACATTAGAAAAAATGACGTTACGTAGATTGACTATGTACTTCCTATGCTGTTACTAGTAGATAAATTTCACAATTTAGCCCTTCACAGAAAAAAGTTAGCTAAGGACATGTCTAAGAAGGAATTAAATACTAAAAACGAAAGTCCGTCCACAAAAATGGCAAATGTGAGGGAGGCCGAGCTTTAGTATTTTTTCAAACAAAGTTCATAATAGACAAAAATCGTGAAAACACGTGTTTTTCCCCTAAGAAGGTTAATACAAATATGGAATAAAAATAGAACAATTCATTTCAAAAACACAACGTTGACGTATGGCTTAGTAACGGAACATCCTGTATGTTTGTGAATATTTTAAGGATAACATAACCACAAACAATTTTCTTCAAAACGACGTAGTCGTAGTCTGGGGAGGACACCGTCCATGTAAAGCTGGATCGCCCTGTATGACTAACTACCGCAAAGAATTTACGGTTTTTAGGAGCCTACAGTATATTCAGATAAGAGATAGACCGGATGTAAACAAAAGGTTCGGGTGATATTCAGGCTAACGCCGCCGTCTCGACGTAAAACAGGAGCCCTCATTGGTCAGTTCGCAATTAAATGCCTATGCCGAGCGGCAGAGCAGTCGTATCAAGGCAGAGTCACATTCAGGTTCAGACGTGTTACGTATGTCGTGTGCATCATTGCAATTTGATATTTCTTTGGACGTTTTCGTTTGTTATCTTATTAAGTTGTTGAGTTTGTCGTTGTTATTGTTATACCTTGTTATTGATTGTTATTGTTATCAACTGCTTGCGCAAAATGCCCAGTAGTACAGATACTGCCGATGAAGTTGTAAACTCCTGTAGTCCACCTAGGAAACGCTCTAAAAAAAGACACCTGAGTGCAGAAATGAAAGAGGTCATTTTGAATATATATAAGATCGAGCGCGAGGAGAACGAGGCATCAACCATCAAAGAAATTGTTGTGAAGGTTTCTCACAAAGTTGGGGTGTGTCGCGCATCAGTGCTTAATGTGTTAAGACAATACAAAAAAAATCACACCTTTTCTGAGCCAATGACCAGTAAACCTCGCAAAAGTATTGTTAAATCATTGGATGAAGCTGATAAGCATGCGATTAGGAGGAAAGTACATGAATTCTTCTTTAGGAATGAAATACCTACTATAGATAAAGTACTGCAGGAGGTAAATGGAGATACAACGTTGCCAAATTTCAAACGATCAACTTTCCATGCGTTACTGAAGCATTTAAATTTCAAATGGAAAAAACGGGGTCGTAATAGTTTACTACTGGATAGAGAAGAAATTGTGCTATGGAGGAGGGATTATTTAACAAAAATTGGGAAATATAGAAATCAAAACAGGAAGATTTATTACCTTGATGAAACGTGGGTAAACGCAGCACACACTACAAGTAAAGTATGGGTTGATGATTCTGTAACTTCATCCAGGAGGGCCTTTCTAGATGGACTGTCCACCGGATTAAAAAATCCAGCTGGTAAATACGAGTAATAGACAACAATCGGATGTTTTTCAAACCTTGGGAACAAGGTTCTAAACATTAATTCCAGGGGGCAGATAAAACATATTACAAGTAACAAAACTTTTATAACTTTCGATAAAATGCGTGGATGTTTTATTATCATTTTCATTTGATAGAACTTTTTTAAGCCATGTTTTTATGTGTTTTCGATATTTCAATAATTTTTTAATATAATCTTAAAATATGTCGAATATTATAAACTTAAAAAAAGTTACTAAGTTTTATATTGTGTACCGTTCCTAATATTTCTAATCATTTTAATTCATACTTTAAGCTTTATAAAGTTATAATTTGTTAATATTAATATTTGCGCGTATTTCAGGTTCCTGATCATTCATTTTTTAAAGGTTTATAACTTTAAATTAAATTGTGAAGCGCTGAGTAATGATACGACGTTCAATATTCTTTCTTTCAATATGACTAAATAATCCCAATTATAGCAATCTGATACTCATGTCTCAATGTTTTTTCGCTGAATGTGATGAAAACATTTGAAAAAGGTTCGCTTATTGAAATAAATCTACACCAGTTAGTACTTCGATTTCCAGGTAAAGGGAAAAGGCTCATTATCTGCCATATTGGCAGTGAGGACGGATTTGTTGTTGACGGTCTGTGGTGCTTTGAGTCTAAGAAAACTGGAGATTACCACGAGGAAATGAATGGCGAATCGTTTGAACAGTGGTTTTCAAAAATTTTACCGAACTTGGAGGAAAACGCAGTAATTGTGTTGGATAATGCGCCTTATCATTCTCGAAGAATGGAGAAGGTCCCAACAACGGCTTCAAGGAAAGTTGATGTTCAAAATTGACTGCGCTCGAAAAATATCAACTTTGAAGAAGCAATGCTGAAAGTACAATTATTAAGAATTGTCAAGGATCACAAGGCGGAATAACAAAAATACGCCATTGACGAAATGGCAGCAAGTCAAAATAAAACTGTGCTCCGTTTACCTCCATACCATTGCGAGCTCAATCCCATTGAGCTCATATGGGCAGAGGTTAAAAATTATATAGCTAAGCACAATACAACTTTTAAATTTTGTGACCTCAAAGGACTTTTCAAAGAAGCACTAGAATTAATAACAGCGCAAAAATGGGAAAACTGTATTAAGCACGTGAAAGACAAAGTTGAAAAGAGAATGTGGGAACTGGACAATATTTTAGAGGAACAAGTCGAGCCATTCATTATTGACGTTGGTGCTTCAGGCAGTAGCGATGATGAAAGCTCATCTTTCCAATAAAAGATGTCGTTCATCAAATTCGGTAAGTTATAAGTAATTATAAAGCTACTCTATTTTATAATTAATTATTGACATTTTTGAACCCATTTTGGCAAAACCTATTCAAGAATCTACTTTCTGACAATGTTCAACCATGCACATTTTTTTACGTTTTGAACGTTTTAATTTGGTTACATATTTACCTAGAAATCAAAAAATATACTAATCAATATTTTAAAAGCAATTTTAAGAGATATACGATTATTTTTAATTTAGGCTAATTTAAACGCCATTTTGAGATTATATTCGACTGTATTTCACCAAACATCAGGCGGCATCCGAAGCTGGAAATCGAAGCGAAAATTTTGAAACCCTTATGTATATTTACATCATTATATATTTCTTACCCCACCCCCACATGATCCTATATCCATCACCAATCGTATACACATCGAATTGTGCTAATTTACTACAAAGTTACGCAAAGCAGCATCTACTATCTAAAATATGTACTGCGTGACTCTTAATACGTCCCTGCCGAATGTTACAGCGTTCGATGATCACGTGGTCTTGTTTATGTCCGGTCTATCTCTTATCTGAATATACTGTAGGTGTATAGCAGCCTAACAAAGATGATAAAAAAATATTGGAGAAGTTATTGGAAGCTTATGTTCTGGAACAACGAACATTGCGGGAGTTCGAGAAGCCGTAAACGGAAAATAAATTTTTGAAAATCAACCGGATTTTGATAATATTTTTAACGACTTATGACAATACAACAGTCGGAACTATGTTAGAATGTTAATCAACTGCAATGATTACGAATGCCAGGAAGACATTACAGAGTTCTGACAATCACAAACACCGTATACCTAAATATTAACGTTGACATTTAAGTAATGACATGCCAAAGGATTGTAGGTTAACGTTTACGTATGCAACGATTATGATTGTCAAAACTGTTATCACTATGATCACCAAACTGTTGCTGTCAATTTCATATAAAATTATGAAGCAATGCATTAATGTGTCTACTTAAAACTAGTAAAAATGTCCTTATCGACATTATCCTGAAAGAGATTTTTCAATATATGAGAAAAACCTCCAAAAATCGAAGGTTCTTATTTTTTAAACAAATTTTTGCACCTAGCTAGAACGGCCGATATTAGTCTTCTTATGTGCTCTGGATGACCCTCTGATGAAAACCTCAGCTACTTCAGAAAACATCTAGCTAGTCAAAATCTACCTCATGTAAAATTCTAAGCACATGCTTCAACAGTTTCAGCCACCTTTAATGTTCTGGATGTACTGACCTAATATTTCTCGTACTGTAACACCAGGTTGTAGCACTTTGGAAATGCCAAAATCACAGAGTTTGATGTCTTCACATGAGTCTTCAACTGACAGTAGGAGGTTTTGTGGTTTCAGGTCCAAGTGTGCGATATTCCTATCATGAAGGTAAGCTACGCCTTCTAATATTTGTTTCATTGCTTTCCTAGCTTCCACCTATAACAAAAAAAAAATAAATTAATAGACAAATAGAAAAATACATAAATACCGTGCAGAATGGAAAAGATAATATACTAAGTGACATATAAATCCGAACACCCAGTTTAAATGGTTTTATTTTAATAAAAGTTGGTGAATGTATTTATCTCACTGTAAATAACAAGTGAAAAAATGTTCAGCCTTATCAGTTGGACATTCCGGTTTTTATACTGCTTTTTTTTAATTCACTAACACTCTAAAAATGAATATTTCAGCCGCAGTAAAGAATCAACGTTGGCGGATTTTGGTTCTTGACATCCTTTACGATCGGTTACGATGCCTAGACTACGGAGACCTGTACGATTTCGTCAACTTAGTGAGTTTGATAGGGGCCGTATAGTGAGACTTCGGGAAGCTGGACATTCTTTTCGGGCAATTGCAGTTAGAGTGCAAAGAAGTGTAGACACTGTGGTCAGGTGTTGTCAGGCATGGCTTCGAGAAGGCCGTACGCAAAGAGCAAGGGGCTCTGGACGCCGCCGTAGAACAACAGACCGTGAAGATCGCCGCCTAAGATTATTGGCCTTAAGGGACTGTTTCTCCACTACCAGGTCCATTGCAAATGAATGGTTTGCAGAACACGGAAGACCTATTGGCATGCGAAGTGTTTACCGACGAATGAGAAGTTTTGGCTTGTTTTCATACCGGCCACACTGGGTCCTCCCTTTAACTCGAGAACACCGACGTAATCGCCTTGCGTGGTGCAGGCAACGGTCACTCTGGGATCAGGAATGGAACAGTATTGTCTTTAGTGACGAGTCTCGATTTTGTTTAGGCATGCACGATGGTCGTGCCAGGGTTAGAAGGCGATGTGGTGAAAGGAGGAATCCACAGTTTTTTGTTGAAAGACATGTTCATCGCACTGTTGGAGTTATGGTTTGGGGTGCTATAGTTTATGGTTTCAGGTCACCTTTAATCTTCATCAGAGGTAACATGAACGCGCAGCGTTATATCCACGAAGTTCTAGAACCCCATCTTTTACCTTATCTTGACACCCTGGCAGATCCAACTTTCCAACAAGATAATGCCCGACCACATGTTGCAAGAGTCACAATAGTCTTCTTTCAACATAATTATGTCACATTGTTACCATGGCCACCAAGATCTCCCGACTTATCCCCAATTGAGCACGTGTGGGATATGATAGGGTAGGAGATTACTCAATTTGCAACGTCCTCCTCAGACTCTAGAAGCACTTCGAGAGGAGTTGGTGGTTGCCTGGAATGAGATACCACAGGACGACATTGACCACCTGATCAGAAGCATGCCTAGGCGCGTTGGAGAATGCGTAGCACATCAGGGTGCATCCACACATTATTAAAGGTCAAAGGGCTTTAAAGCAGTGCAATCATTTTGAAATTTTTATCATTTACTTATTATGCTTCATTAAGTTCTTATACAAAATTTTATTAAAATAAAAACATTTAAACTGGGTGTTCGGATTTATATGTCACTTAGTATACATAGAACTAGTTCGTTTCAGTGAGCGCGAGCTAACGATTTAGTTCTAGAAACGAAGAAACTAGAAATCACAGATATAAAGGTAACAATAAAAAATAATAATAATAATAATAATAAATGTTATTTTTATGCGAAAAACAAGTGTTACGTTTTTTTCTTCTAAACAAATTCAAACATTTCGTAAACGAACAAATGCGCTACGATATTCGAAAACATACGTTACTATGTATATTTTAAAACAAAACTGATGTGTTTATCATCTTTTTTTACTCACAAGTACGCAATGTTTGAATTTGTTTAGAAGAAAAAACCCAACCCATTTTTTTTGCATAAACATAACATATCTACCGAAATGGTTTGTGAATCATAGCGGCAAGGTAAACTAGGTTATTTTGATATAAAAAGCCCTCTGAACTAACCCAGTGTATTGCTCAATAAACTAGTAGTGATGGGCATAAAACAGGTATTTTGGGATAAACAACTGGAAATTCACAAAAACTACTTGACCAATCTACTCCAATTTTGTTGTGGTTATTTAGAAGTATGAATCCTACGAATTCAAAGAATTTCAAGTATCTGCCAAAACCTGCAGTTTGCCTGTTTTTTTTTATTTTGCTATTAGTCGGATCTTTTTATATTTTGTAGGTCCCATAAATACCTAAAAATCTTATTTGAAGAGTTTTGTTGTTCCTTCCAACACTTTCGATTGAATCCCAAAAAACACGTTTTCTCATTTATTGTTGTCGAATAAAGTTTTCCCACAAAGATTGGTATACCCATTTTATGCGTCCATGTTTTAAATACCCCCTTGAACAACTTGCAGCAATAAAACCAGACTTTACAATTATTTCGCAAACCAGGGGTATTTTCGTCCAATATGATTAGACTATAATAATGCATTAGTTGAGGCTCAGCCTGCCAATATCACAGTATAAACCCCTAACCTCGAAGTTAAAAAAAATAATATTAACAAATTAAATCTTTAATTTACAGAACAAAAAGGTATGCAAATTTGTAAAAATAAGGATAAAAAATGTATTATGGGAGAAAAATAATATAAATTAAAATTTGATATTAGAGGAAACATTTTATCTTTAGTAAACAACTTAATTAACAGACTCAAGGAACTTTGATTATGGTCATCTGATTACCTCAAAGAATAGCTGTACCAGCTTTCAAAACTACACGAATCATTTGGTCCGATTTCCTTTATTTTACTACGGGGATGTCTTTTAAGTTTTGCCTATAGAAACATAGTAGGCCGCGCGGATCCAACGTTAGTACTGAATCTTAACCTCACTCTTTAGTAAACTTAAATTCAAAGTTTCATAACAATACGTGCAGTGTTCTCACTACAGTGAATTTTTAAGTGTCACCAAGTCATTAGAAAAATGGAACTCAACCGAGTACATTTTCGCGCTATAATTTATTACAACTTTCAGAGACAATTATCACAACAAGAATGCCTTGCTGAGTTACTGTCTGTTTTCGGCAACAAAGCGCCACATCAGTAAACAATTTTCCGTTGGTATGGAGAATTCAAACGTGGACGGGTGAGTCTTAGCGACGAATCCGGGGTGGGTGCACCAAAAACGGCAGTCACCCAGAAAAACGTCGATGCTGTGCGCAAACTCATCATTGAAGATAGACATGTGACATATCGCGAGATTGAGGCGTCCTTGAAGATCTCAAAGACCTCAATTAAAAAAAAATTACATGAAGAATTAGGAGTAAGAAAATTACTTTCTCGTTGGATACCCCACCTGTTGACTGAAGAGCAGAAAGCAGCCAGGGTTAATTGGTGTCAAAAAACGCTTGACCGTTTCAATTCCAGAAACTCCAAAAATGTGTACAGCATTTTTAGTGGTGATGAATCGTGGATTTACTGTTATCAACCAGAAAATAAACGACTGTCGGCTGTTTGGGTGTTCCAAGGTGAAGAAAACCCAACAAGTCATCCGTTCTCGAAGTGTTTCGAAAAAGATGGTCGCGACATTTGTCAACAACAATTCCTCCTAATGAGCAAAGAACTGTTACTGCGAATTGGTACACCACCATTTGTTTGCCAAGTCATCACCGAGCTTCGAAAAATCAACCCCGAAAGAAGAATCATCCTCCACCAAGACAAAGCAAGCTCGCACACAGCCCAAAAAACAAGGCAGTATTTAACGGAAGAAAACGTGGAATTATTGGACCATCCTCCATATAGTCCCGATTTAACTCCTAACGGATTCTTTACTTTCCCGAAAATTAAAAACAGACTGTGTGGTCAAAGGTTCCATTCACCAGAAGAAGCAGTTGACGCATTCAAAAATGCCGTTTTGGATCTGCCAGCAAACGAGTCGAATAAGTGCATCGAAAATTGGTTCGAGCGCATGCAGATGTGTATTAATCTTCGTGGAGGATATCGAAAAACAATAAAGTCATTTAAAATTACCTACCGTGTTGTTGTATTTCCATATTCAAAACTTAAAAGACATTCCTCGGACTTACCTCTTGCAAGCAGTGCCCCTGGTCCAGTATATGCTGCAGCTCGCCGCCAGCAGCCAGCTCGAGCACCAGCACCATCTCGTGCTGTTGGTCGTACACCTCGTGCAGCCTGACCACCCTTCCTGTGCCCCTGCATTGCATCAGCACCGCGATCTCGTGGTGGATCTCCCTCTGTTGGCACTGAGCCCTGCGACGTTTCTTCACGAACTTCGCGGCGAACGCCGAACCTGTCTGACGATGCACGCAGCGGCATACCGTCGCGTATTTGCCTCTGGAATGGAAGAAAATCAGGTCAAGTTTATAATATAAATTCAGGACAATAAATAACTATAACAATGGTAAATAGTACAGATGCATGTGTAGAAGAAACTAGACTAAGCCCGAGTGGAAGTTGTATACGTCATTCGTTTTTCATTACTGTGAAGGAGATTGGTTTGGGAGAAAAAATGCAATACTCAAAGTAATGCAATAGTTACTCTGGCAATGGTCGTTTCCATCAATATTTTAATCAGTATCAAATGTGTAATCAGAATCACATAAGTAATACGTGAAGAAATCTCTCAGCCTGTGTGGCATATCTCAACATATCCTAACCCAACAACCAGCTATTCACATTATTATATACTAAGTGACATATAAATCCGAACACCCAGTTTAAATGGTTTTATTTTAATAAAAGTTGGTAAACGTATTTATCTTACTGTAAATAACAAGTGAAAAAATTTTCAGCCTTATCAGTTGGACTTTCCGGTTTTTATACTGCTTTTTTTTTAATTCACTAACGCTCTAAAAATGAATATTTCAGCCGCAGTAAAGAATCAACGTTGGCGGATTTTGGTTCTTGACATCCTTTACGATCGGTTACGATGCCTAGAGTACGGAGACCTGTACGATTTCGTCAACTTAGTGAGTTTGATAGGGGCCGTATAGTGGGACTTCGGGAAGCTGGACTTTCTTTTCGGGCAATTGCAGTTAGAGTGCAAAGAAGTGTAGATACTGTGGTTAGGTGTTGTCAGGCATGGCTTCGAGAAGGCCGTACGCAAAGAGCAAGGGGCACTGGACGCCGCCGTAGAACAACAGACCGTGAAGATCGCCGCCTAAGATTATTGGCCTTAAGGGACCGTTTCTCCACTACCAGGTCCATTGCAAATGAATGGTTTGCAGAACACGGAAGACCTATTGGCATGCGAAGTGTTTACCGACGAATGAGAAGTTTTGGCTTGTTTTCATACCGGCCACACTGGGTCCTCCCTTTAACTCGGGAACACCGATAGACGTAATCGCCTTGAGTGGTGCAGACAACGGTCACTCTGGGATCAGGAATGGAACAGTATTGTCTTTAGTGACGAGTCTCGATTTTGTTTAGGCATGCACGATGGTCGTGCCAGGGTTAGAAGGCGACGTGGTGAAAGGAGGAATCCGCAGTTTTTTGTTGAAAGACATGTTCATCACGCTGTTGGAGTTATGGTTTGGGGTGCTATAGCTTATGGTTCCAGGTCACCTTTAATCTTCATCAGAGGTAACATGAACGCGCAGCGTTATATCCACGAAGTTCTAGAACCCCATCTTTTACCCTATCTTGACACCCTGGCAGATCCAACTTTCCAACAAGATAATGCCCGACCACATGATGCAAGAGTCACAATAGACTTCTTTCAACATATTGATGTCACATTGTTACCATGGCCACCAAGATCTCCCGACTTATCCCCAATTGAGCACGTGTGGGATATGATGGGTAGGAGATTGCTCAATTTGCAACGTCCTCCTCAGACTCTAGAAGCACTTCGAGAGGAGTTGGTGGTTGCCTGGAATGAGATACCACAGGAGGACATTGACCACCTGATCAGAAGCATGCCTAGGCGCGTTGGAGAATGCGTAGCACATCAGGGTGCATCCACACATTATTAAAGGTCAAAAGGCTTTAAAGCAGTGCAATCATTTTGAAATTTTTATCATTTACTTATAATGCTTCATTAAGTATGTACTTATACAAAATTTTATTAAAATAAAACCATTTAAACTGGGTGTTCGGATTTATATGTCACTTAGTATACTTACATAACTCAAAAGTTCTATAGATAGTCCTATTCTAGCGCAATTTATGAAAAATGACCCTATATTGCTATCAAGTAGAGGAGGTGGATAGAAGAAGTATAGCTTTCAATTTATTCCTCAAATTTCTTAGACTGAAATCAATAATACTATGTTTAAGTGCTGTTAGGTCGAAATTCTGATTAAAAGATAACATTAAAATTTGCCCTCTTACATTCTGACAAAATCTCTCAAAAATGGACAATATGGTTGCGGTTATGTACCTGCAGCATTCGGCACTGCCACAAGAAACCAAAGCTCAAAATTTCAAAGTTCATAGTTATTCATCTCGTCGGAATTTGTCTACTGAATTTACAAAACCTCTCGACTGAATAAATAATAAATTTTTTCACTTTGCATACATATTCATGCTCAAGTATGGCATGCCAAATACAACAACGCAATTTTTTCAATAACAAAAATCGTTCACCTTTTAGACGTGGTCGATTTGAAAAGATTAGCAAACATAGTACATAGAAAGACAATATAATTGTAACCACGAGTCAAATTATAAACCTACGATCATCAATTATTTTTTTAATTCGTTAATCGCCGCTGAGCTAGTGGGCGGTTGAAAAATTATTATTAAATTAACTTTAGCCATTTACTTCGATCAAGCGTTATTGTTGTGGAAAAACATCTTGCGTTTTAAAACAGATCATAGCAAAAATATTTTCCTCTGATAAAAATTAAGCCAGTAACTCATTTTATAGATGAATGAATGGTAAAACGTTACCACAAATATTCGAAATATTGGCCGTTTCAGAAACACATTCTAACTACAACCAAAAATTGAGTAGTGGTAGAATAGCGAAAGCTAAACTTGTTTTTGGTTCATACCGATAACCTCAGAGAGGAGATTTTCAAAGACGAATTAGCACTATCTTCTATGATCCCACAGCACATTATTCCCAAACTTTAATCAAAATCGGTGCAGACGTTTTCGAAATTGCGTTAAAATAATGCCAATGGACAGACAGACCGACTGACAGAAATGAATGACTTTTTTCGTCTTGTAGATACTATGAAACATCTAAGGAACTTGAAATTCCAGATTTTTTTTAGATTTCCAGATTGGATCTGTATGAAAACTTTTTTTTAATCAATCTTCATTCAACATTCCACATTTACAAATTTTATAGTTAAAAAAGTTATCTAACTAACATCATGATAGACAACGCGAATACTAACAATAATAATCAAAAATAACCAATCTTTATTCTACGCAGAAATAGTTAATACCGATGATGCGAAAACTCGACGAACTTATTTAATCATTATGAAAATCTCGGTTCTATGAGACATCATTGCTCTTTGTAGGTGTTTTGATCCCCCTTATCTCAATACTAAGATCTCTTGAGACAATAATCATATAATTAGCTCACAGCCATAATAGGTAAACATATCGTACATTGAACATTCCTTAAGCTTTTCCAAAGGTCGTTAACACGAGGTTATAAAAACCACCGTGCTATACTTACTAGATAATTTGAGTGGCCGTACTTGTACTTAAGGCTCACCGCACACAAAACGAACAAATCAGGAGGATTTGTTTCTGCATCATCATGTTTCAATGATTCAAAGGGTCATCGGAACGAAGCCAGATTACGAATTCAAACAATTTTCGGAATAACAAATACTAGGTTTACTTTGAGGTTCCTCTGGATTTTATCAAAAAGGTTATTTTTATTTTCCAGAGGTGAGAGAAGTTTTGCAATCATCAAAAATAAACGGAAAGACCAATATTTGACTACAATATAACTCCGAAAGAAACACTCAGTTTTGACGAATAACGAAAAAAAAAAAACAAAAATTACAAAAACTTCATCCCTTCATGGTTCAAAGGTCCCTCATTTCAGGAATCTTTTGGAAGGGGCTAAAACTGGGTATTAGAAAGTGTAAGGAGTAGGGGTTGTAAATGTTGCAACAATTTATCAGCAAAATACATTCTCTTCGGCCATGTGGGCCTTTTAAACAGACTTCACTTATTATTTTTTGTGATACATGTTCTTCTCAGCCGGGATAATATTTGTATCGCTTTCGTTACAACAGATAACTTTAAATAAAATTAGTGTCAAGTACAACAAACAATATTAAATGGATCAAGTCAGTCAAACAGGCCCGTAAAATGAGTTAGTCAACAGTAGGGCTCCGCACCCATCTACAACGTTGTGATCTAGAAATTTCTCCGCACTGCCGATAGTATCGACTATATGCTAACGTTGCTATGATTAACCTTGCCACTCTAGGTATATCCAGAGACGTATGCGTTGAAAATATTTCTTTATCAGTTTTAAGCGCAAATATGTATGTACCGGGAAATCATGTGTGCAATATGACTAATAGCTGGGTAGAATTACTAAGCGTATAAGTATAATAAAGGCAAAAAAAATTGAGACATAACCTCTTTTGCACCTTACAAGTCTCCCACACCCAATTTTCAACACATACAAGATTTTTTCTTAAAGTTCGAGCGATTTTTCTTTTTCGTTTTTTGCCTTTAACTCCCCCCCCCCCCGCCACTGGATCGATTTCCAAAAACTGCAAAACTTTTTGACCCGAACATTGTACTAACCTTGTGTCAAAATTTCATTCAAATTCGAGCGATACTTTCCAAGTAAAATCAAAGAAAACCGTAGAAATATTCCACTTTTTTCGGTGTGCGATGGGCCTAAGCTATTCACACTCATACGCAATGATACACGCAGAGGGTTCATTTACCCAATCACATTTCAACAGTCATCATCGAAGAGGAGATACAATCAAGTGATCCTATGAAGGAAACACACTCTGTCAGTTTTTTCAACTCTAGGATCGCTGAATCATAGTAAGTGAGTGACCCCTGCACCTGTTCGAAATTATGCAATCAGATGCAGCAGACGAATTTTCTTGAAGCAATCATAATTGGACGATATTTTATTACAGACAATAGAGAAGAAATTACATTGATGTTACAAAAACGCCGTCAATGGCATAAACGAGTTATAAATCGATAAATCTGGTATAATAATCTGGCCAACCAAAGCACATGTGTTTAAAAGCTTTCTTTATTGGATACGTTTCGGTCCCAACGGTGACCTTGAAAGTAGATAGGTACTATCTTGTCAATCTATCTGATTTATCAGTATTCCATGTGACACTGGGTTTTCTTTTCATTTTCACATTCCTATACAATACTCG